TTACCAGGTGCTGTAATGATAGATATTTTACCGCAAAATGCGGAATAAACGAAAATGCCACATGATTTGTAAAAACCCGTTTGTCATCAAGCTGACGAAAAATCGTGGCATTTCGCACTGTGATTTACATGAGCTGGCTCATTCCTCACGTGTCCATCTCCATCACCATCCGGCCTCGTCTCCTGCCCCAGCGTCCGGATCCTGCAAAGGGGGCGTGCTCCAAGTCGACGTCAATGCTGCTACTGACACGTGATAAAACGCTGCTCAGCTGAACCCCCCATCCAGGGCCAGCGGTACGTTGTAGGTGAGCATGGGGCACAAGGCATTAACATTTACATGGCACACGCACACACATGCTCACGACTCCAGACTACGACGGAGTCCAGAGGGCCGGAGCCAAGGGGAAGAAACAACAAGCAAAACTTTGGCAATTCTTTTGTGCAAAGAACAGCGCACACACATGCAACCCCTGCCCCCTTCTATCCATTCCATCCGCAAGGTGGCAATGTGCGGTCCAGGATGGACCAGGACCGGGGTGCCGCCTCAAGGAAGTACGGAAACTCTGCTGCGATCCCGGCCTGGGGTCGGACGTTGCCATTAACGTTTCTATTGTGAGCTTTTGGCCTTAGCGAAATAAATAAAATTCGACAGTTGCGATGGACATCTTCAGACACCTCCGCACAAAGCCCAAGGCCCATCCCCCGAGTCAACGAAGTGAAAACTCAGGCACTGCAAGAAAATTACAAGCATTGATTACAAGTAAGAATTTAAATAATTTTTTAAGGACGCTAAGGCAAGAACTAATTAAATAGTTTATGATTTAATCAATCAACAACCACAATTTTTAGTTTCTGTTTCTGATGCAGCAAGTCTTCTCCCAACTCTCTTTTTATTCTTCCTATATTTTTTATAATTTTCAAGTCCGTATTTTCACGGTTTAATATTTTTGTTTTCAGTGATTCAAAAAGTTTGTGGCTTTCAAATTTCGCACAGACGAGCCGGAGGTTCCTGGCGAATTCCAGGAAGAGCCGGCAGGAGGCTGGGCGAGGCCGGGTGAGACCGGGAACCGACACCTACCAGTTGGTGCTGCTACTGCTCAGCGTATTTATCTATTCATGCTCGCAAAAAGCAATTCGAACGGGAGCCGGAGCAGGAACGGCCTCGGGGAGTGGGAGGCGGGAGGTGATGCGAAGGGCAGGACAAACTTCAATGCAGCTAACGATGTAGGGACAACAACAGAAATAGAACTGCAGATGGAGTTGGACCCACGGATGGAGCTGGAGATGGAGATGGAGCTGCGTTGCTGGCAATGGACTGCAGTGTAAGTTGATTCCGTGATTTCGGAGGGGGCAAAGTTTTGCGGGCCTCGTCCTTCTCCCGGCTGCATTTTGAGCTTTTATTATGTTTTTTGGGCAACCGGCTGCCCTTCGAATAGAAGCTGTGCCGGAGTTTGGGGAGGAAAGGGCGCCGAAAAAGAAGAAAAGTGTAGACTTTTTAGTGTTTTACACAAAAGTGCCGGCATGGACACGACTGAGAGGTCGAGGATCGGGTCCTGGCCCCGGCCCTGGGCCGGGATTGGGTGACTGGCTGCGGGCAGGATCGGGTTCCTGGACGAATGGTTAGACGCTTGGCTGGCTACAAACAAATAGACAGACAGACAGAGGGAATCGAGTCTGCGAAGCGTTTGCAACATGCATTAGATTGGCAGTTGGGGATTTACTTGTAAAATGCAAATGCAATGAATGTACAATTTAGAAATTTTTACACCGAGAAATACTAGACTCGATGGAACCGTCATTGCACCATTGCAACTGGGGGAGAAGCGGCCAGAACTCGTCTAGGATGTGTTTCCCTTCCTTCCTTCCGTCCTTCCTTCCTTTCTTCTTTTGAGCTGCACAACAGATGGGGAGGAGCCAAAATCAGGATGGGGTCCGGGTCTCGAGTCCTGGGCGTCAGTCTGTTTTCGGTGCTCATTTGAAATGCAAGCCGTTGTTTTGTCTGAATGACTCGTAATCTATGCTAATGAAATTGTTTTTGGTTTCGGTTTTTAAAACAAATTTTAACCCCACAGCAAACTGGCAAAAACTTTCCGCATAACAACAAAAATTGCAGCAGAAGGAGCAGCAGCAGCAGCAGTACCAGCAGGAGCTACAAATAACAGCAGCGAACGGCGAAGGGTGCCAAGATAAATAAACAAAATGTGTGTGTGTGGCTCCGAATTGAAAAGCAAGTGTAATGTACTTGAAGATAACACAATTACGTTCCGTGCCCTCAGATACTCATCGCAATGAAATCAAGAACGTCTTCTTGCTTTTTGGGCGGCAAAGAAAGGCATTTCTGACAGGACATGATTGTGTTACAAGGAGGTAAGAGTATGGCTTCTTTAAAAATATCTGTGAAGATTTGAATAAATAAATAATATATATTTTATAAAATATGGTTTGTTTTTCATTTGCTCAAAATCAATCCATTTTCAATTCGACTGAGTCGGTCCAATTGCAATTTGCAAGGATTCTTCTCTTTTTTTGTAGTAATATTTAACTATAGATTAGGGTAAAGGATACTTCTATATTGTATAGTAAGGAGTATTAAAAAGTTTTTTTTAATAAAAACACTCTTATTTTTACCATATATCTCTTGAAATTGTATACCTCGTAAATAACCTACTTAAAACATATTACTAATAAGTACACAGATCGATCAGGTCCTTGAACGGCCTCTCCTAATTTGGTAAGCAGGCCGATCAATGTGTGGCCTGTGGTCCACAGTGTGAACCAGCTTCCAGTCTACTTAATTCGTTTACCAAAATGCCGAAACACATTTTGCGTTGTCAGGACGAGCGAGAGGAGACTTTTATTGCAACCGCAACAAGCTTACATGCCATTCGGCCGCACAAAGCGATACTTGCCACAGCTGCAATAAACTCTCGGGCTGCAGTTGCAAGTTTCGACTATAAACCGAATTGCACATGCATATGAACATGCCGGCACACAAACAAACACACACCAGTGCATATGTGAGTGTGTTTATTGAGGAATTCATCAAAATCGCCAAGGCAACTCGAATTTTCATCGGATATTTGGTAAAACTTGTTACAACTACGCCCACAGCTCACAAGGATGCCTCGGCCTGGGCACTCGGAAAAATATGCTATATGCTCCATAAAGTCCACAAAATTCGTTATTTATGTAGTTGAATCAATTTACTTTTGGAATAAATTATTCTGTCAAGCTAAAGTTATATTTTAATTAATAAAAATCTTACTTTTGGCTGCCAAGCAAAGGAGGAGAGAGATTTAAGCCCTATTCCAATAGGTTTGCTTTCTGTTAGTGGGTTTATTTATTTAATATAATCATTGGAAGACATTTAACAGTAATTTACAAACAAATATTTACAAGTTCCCTTATTTTTAACATAGTTTAAACAAAAAAAAACTTTCGTTATTATTTTAGTTACATTTTCAAAATTATTTCTGTTTTAATAATTGTATATTCTGAATGAGTTTCTAAAATTCCAGGTCTACTTTAAAATTGTTATCCAAGTGCATCCTTAACCATTGAGTGGTCGGCCAGCCACTTGGCCGCCTCTCCCCGCAGCAGCCAGGCGCAGGACGAGCGTCGCATGTGGCGTTGTTGATTACATTGTAGTGGCTGGCTGGCGTTGTTGTTGGATGTTGTGTTGTCTGCGGCATTATTACAGTTGTTATTGTCGTCGTTGGCGGCGGTGGCTGCCAGCTCCTCCTGGCTCCTGGCCGCAATATAAGGAATTCGCAAAACTTTCCCCCAGAAAAATTTCAGCGCACTTGACGATGACGACGACGACTTCCGCTGCAACTTGCAGTGTGCTGGTGTCTGGTGTTGATGCTTTTATTTATGGCCTGCCCGTCGCTTCCATAACTCTCGGCCGGCAGGCTCTCTCCGGTGAAGCGTCAATAGTTGTATTTCGCCCAGCCAGCATCCGGAAGGATGTGAGGTACACGGATTCGGATTCGCATTCGGACTCAGAGTTGGACTCGGATTCCTGCCTTCCAACTTAAATACGGCGCCCCGGGGGCCTCGATGTTTGAGAGCGAACTTGCAAGTTCCGCCGCGACTTTGGCCGCCCGCCTGTCGCAACGTAACATTACAGTGATTACGCCCTGTAAAACTTACGCCTTTATTGTAAGCTGGTTGGGTTTGCCATCCCACGGGTTTCAGTTTTACACTGAGAAGAATAAGGTGCTTCTTAGCTTGCATTTAGATGTGATTTGTAAGGCCATAAAGTAGAAATGGTCTTCCTTTTTTTAGTGTTTATTAATGTCTCCTTGAATACATTTTAAACTTCTGACTACAATTTAAATACCTGCAAGAGTCTGGTTATATCGCTAATAAATATCTAAGTTAAATTAGAACTTAGGAATTATAACAGAGAAGGATTTTTCCTTGGTGCATCCCCTATAAGTATGTATGTATGTGCCGAACTTTGTGAATTGCAAGTGCGAAAACTTGAGGGGAAAACTTCAAATGCGCAACTTGCAAAACACAGAACCAGCAGGGGGACAGGATGACACTCCTCCAGTGCCACTATATTCCCAGCTAGCAACTTTCAGCTTCAACCTGCATTACCAAATCAAGCAGAGCACGTAATGAATCAGTCACAGCGATTAACTTTTACAGCAGCATCGAGCAGACGAATTGCAAGTGATGGCGGACGACAAAGTCAACGGGGTAGGACACACAACATAGTCACTGTGGGTTAGAGATGTGGCCTGATCTTTGGGAGAAAGGAAATGCCTCGATTTTATAATATTTTTAATTGAAAAATGATTAAATAAATATTTACTATTGAATTAAATATTTATAGGCCACAGAAAATGCATATATTTTTTATTTCCTGCCAATTTAAAGACCTCTAAATATTCTAGCCTTGGAAAAAACCCTGTAAACAAAACACCTATCTTGGACACAAAAAAAAAAACTGCTGATTAACCTTTTTACAAACACAACAAAATACACGCTTCATTTATTGTTAAATAGTTTCATTTATTAGTAAAAATATAATTGTATTTGATTTGTATATTTAAGTATATTGTTTGTATAATTTTAATTAACAAATATTGCAGCAAATTTCATCTACTAAATTATGGATTACGTTACGTATGCTTCATACGTTTACACGGATGTTTGTTTTCGCTTCGTTGTCTGCGTGTTCCTCCTCCGGGACCCGATCCCATCTCTCTGTCTCTAATTCTGTGTATGTACGCTGACTTACAATTAACGGAAAAATTCAACAACAAGTTACGGCGAACAAAACCAGGCTTTTCGCCACGGAGTTACAAAAAGTATGCACGTATTGAGTACGTATATGTCTACGTCCTTACACTGAGTATGTGGAATACGGGATTACGACTCACGGTTTACGGATTACGGCTCCCAGCTTACGGCTTACGTCTGACGGCTTTCGGCTCCCGGCTCACGGCTGACGGATTACGGACTGCGGCTAACCGCTTACATGAGGCGACAGCCCTCGCGCTCGCCGCTGCTCTGCCTTGGCATCTGGCGCTGCGTGGGCGTAGACTGGGCGGAGGAGCCGCTGACCATCGTGGCGTTCCCGTTCGATTCGAGACTGGCGTGCCGCGTGAGACGCTGGTGATTTGGCCGCAGGTCAGCAGTGGTCACCATCCACTGGTTGCCATTAGCCTGCTGGGATTTTGGCACAAAATCTTCCTCCTCATCCTCGAGCTCATGGATTCCCGTTACTGCGTCCACACCCTGTTCACTGGCCGTGCCGACGTCTTGCAGCGGTGTATTAGCGGCGTCTCCCAGCGACTGAATATACTGCTCCAGCAGGTAGATATGCGGCTGCAGGGTGAGCACAAATCCCCGGTATAGAGAACCGCTGTGCTCGAATGTGCTGTGGCTGAGCTGCTTCAGGGCAGTCTCCGTGCGCCGGCAGGTGTGCACCGACTCGCTTCGGATTATCCCGTTCACGATCCGAGATATGGAGGCAGCGTCCTGTAGCAAAATCGACAGCACCAGGGCGTAGTCCGTGCAATTGGCCTCGCTGAAGAGCTGCAGCAGATAGCGCAGCTTGATGGACAGCTTCGCGGGCAGCGGATCCACGGCCAGGTCGTCCTCGGAGGCTGGCAGGGAGTACAATCGACGGTAGCGGAAGTTATCAAAAGACAATTGCGATTCGGAACGCGTCTTCAGGACGGGCAGCGAGCTGGGCTGTTGCGGCTCCTCGGCCTCCTCCTCCTTGATGCTTGGCTGCAGCTGCGGCGACTGGGTGGCCGCACCGTTTGGCGTAGCCAGGCTGAAGTAGCCCGACTCTGAGGTCTGCGAGGAGGACCCCCCGCCACCTGCCTGCCGGTGACTGCCGCGCAGCTGGGCAAAGTCGTCCTTTGATGGTGGCGGGAATGGACTGGGCAGTTGAAGCTCCGCGTGCAGGGCCAGCAGGGCGCCGGCAAAGTCGTCTAGTTTGGCCGCCTTCTCCGCTTCCTGCGACAGCCACGTGACCAAATGGAAGTCCAGGTAGGCGCACATATAGCCAAGATCCATCAGCTTGTGGTTTTGCAGCAACTGACGGGCATGGCGCTGGAGGATTAGGTCGATGCAGAATGTCTCTCGCTGCTTCGTGGAGCGACGACGCACCACCGTTGGTGGCCCGGAACTGCTCGACTCGGCCACAGGCGGCACTCCGGCTCCAGGCAGCGCCTGCTTGTCCTTGGGCAGGTTGCTGGTCACAGTGGTGGAGAAACTGCGCTCCCGGGCGATGGGACCCAGGACCATGTTGAAGGCATCCGCATTCTGATTGACTTGCTGCTGCGTGTTCACCTGCGGCGGTGGAGCGATCTTGACATTCACCACCATAGAAGACCGCGGCGAGTCGATTTCGTTGGGATCGATGGCCTTGAGGAAGCGGATCAGGTCCTTGGCTAGCTCCCACTTGCGCTGCTGCAGTGCAATGTCAAGCAGCATGGTGGCATATTGCTTGCTCACCACCGAGGGCTCCAAGTTCTGCAGTATTATCAGGTAGCTGGCCGCTGTGTCCAACTGCTCCGACTGTAGGCACAGCTGGAACAGCTCCTTGGGCTTTCCGGCCATCGAGAAAAGGTAAGGCCACAGGGCAATCTCCGTCTTGCGGGCACACTGCACTATGGTCTCCAGGTAGACGGGAAACTCGCGTATAAAGTCCAGAATGCTGGGTAGCTGGGCATCCGGAATCGGCTGCTTGCTGGTGGCCTCCTCCTCTAGTACCTCATGCAGGAGCAGCTCCAAAGCGTGCGGAAAGTATGGAAGCGAGCGACAAGACTGCGCAATCTCCCAGGCCGAGTATCCGAGATTCCGTTTGATCAGCTGGCGGAGAACCTTGTGCAGGTAGATTTGCGACTTGCGCTCCATGGTGGCGAATGGCAGGGAGAAGTGGGAGCCCTCCTCGTTGGCATACAGCGTGCTTTCGTTCTCCACGCCCAGCACAATCACGTTGTCGAAGAGCACAACCAGCGGATAGAGCTTTAGGGGAAAGCCCAGCATTATCCGCTTAGACATGAAGCTGTGCAGCCGCTGGGCTCCGCCTTGTTCTCCCTCGCGCCGCTCCCTGCCCGGCGGCAGGATGGGCAGCCACACACGCATGCCATGGGCTCCCGAGTACAGCCAGAGGCAGTCGCGCATCGCACAACGCTCCAGGGAGTGCGACAGCCAGAAGACCTCCACGCAGCTGGCCAGGCAGGTGGCCAGCAAGGTGTTGGGAACCTGCTCCCCAGCATCGCGCTGAATCATCAGGATGCGGCCGCACACGTTCACAATGATGGTTTCCGCCTGCTCTGCCAGCTGTTGTCCCTGCGGCTTTAGCTCGTTCTTGAGGTTGGTGACTGTCAGGCTCACAATGCACGCAGGATGGATGCAGATACTCTTTACGTCCAGCTCGTAGGCGCACTCAATGTCCAAAGCGTATGCCGATTTCTTGGTCATGTTGAACAAACTCACGATTCCGTCCGCCGTGAGAACGATCAGTTGGTGCCGGAAGGAGTTCAGGCTGATCACCGGAGCCCGCACCTGGAGCTTGTGTCCGAACTGGTTGTCCAGCTTGCACTCCGCCGGATAGCAGCGCAGCTCGTCCGTGCGGTCAAGCAGCGAGTAGCAGCCCATGACCACGAAGCCCTGCCACCAGAGCAGGCCGCCAGATACCACAAAGTCCTTCTCCTGCGACTCGTTGCCGAAGAGCTTCCAGCGGCGGTTCACCAGCGAGTAGTGTGCCAGTCCAGTGCGGCCAGCCACCGCCAGGTGAAGGCCATCCGCATCGATTGCGGCATACCGAATGGGCCAGTTGGTGGCCGCATAGTTCAGCGGCAGTTGCAGCACAGTCCAGTACTTGCTCTCCGTGAGGATGCTGCCCGTGTGCGGGCTCTGCTTCAGCTCCAGGCAGTCGCTATCGCTGTCCGTCGCCGTTGCCTGATCTGAGCTACCGCTCGAGGGGAATGTGGACTGGCTGCCGGCATACGTCCGCTCCAGATTGTTGCCCTGATTGAGGTACAGGCAATCGTCGCCCTGCAGCAGGATGTGCGGGTTGGTGGTCATGCAGGGATTCATGCTCAGTGCGCTCTTTACGAACTGCAGCTGCAGTACGTTGCTCTGCTCCTTGTCCCGGCTGCCCTGCAGCTGCTCCTGCGTCAGCATAAACAGCTGGTAGCCCTCGGTGGACCACTCCAGGCGGCGCAGCTTGAGCGGATTCTGTCGAAGAAGGTCCACGTTTAGGCCAAAGTCCCAGCTCAAGGTGGACATCAGCAAAGCTCCGAAGGTGCTCCACAGCGACAGGCCGCCATTCGTCCAACTCACGGCCAAGACGCAGCCATCAGGACTCCACTTTAGCTCGTTGACCGCCCCCAAGCTGCCGGGCAGCACGTTCTCCGTAAGCATCAGACGGTGCGAGAACTCCAGTCCGCCGGTAGCATCGTCAATCGCATATACATTCACGCCGGAGCTCTCCTGGCCGTAGGCAAGCAGCCGGAACTTGTGGTTCACGCTGCACACGCTGGCATCCTCCACGTCGGGTACCCAGAAGCCGTGCATGTGATCCGTTTCGAACTTTAGATGGTTGGCAATCAGGAAGGCGGCACGCCGATCGCTAAAGACCGCCGCGCAGCCACCGATGAAGGGCGAGTACTCCAGCGAGGCGACATAGGAGTCCCGGCTTAGGGGTGGCACGTTCCGGGCGGAGCCCTGCTGAGCCTGCTGCTGCTGCACGTAGAACGGAATGTCGCGCAGCTTGATGGCGGCCAGGGCGGGCACCTCCAGCTCGTTCTCGGCCTGCTCCAGTTGGGCCCACTGCAGCCGCAGCAACTCGCACGACTGCGTGGCCAACAGCAGTTCGCTGAGGCTGATGCAGCACACGGTGGTGATGACGGAACCCAGGGTGACGCTGCACAGCTCGCGCAGGCTCAGGCGCGGGATGTTCTCCTTGATGAATAGCTCGGCGGAGTCCCGCTTCAGGCTTGCGGCTGGTGGATCCACCTGCAGCAAGATCCCACTGCCGTTAGCATCGAAATCCAACTGGTAGAGAAGCAGGGCGCCACCAGCACTTAGCACTGCCAGTTGCCGGGAGTCCGGCTTCCACACGATCAGCTGGTTGGAGCCATACTGCCGCAGCGAGTCCTGGGAGCGGCGAAAGTAAGCAATGGGAATCAGCGGATTCGCGTACCAAATGCCTAGGAAGTCATCGCCCACGGCGGCCACGAGTATCTTGACGGCGTCGCAGCAGATGTGCCGGATGCAGGCGCCCTCGCCGGGCAGCGCCAGGCCAACCCGCTTGGGCCAGCCCACGGGAAAGTACATGCTCCTCCTCCTCCGTGTGTGTTAAGTCACTGTGTGTAAGCGGAAAACAGCGGTTAGGGATTGCGGGAGAATGGTGCCGGGCTCGCGGGCATTTACATGGTGTGGGTCAGGCTCCGTTTTACATGTCCTCCGTCGACTAATTAGCACTTTTACAAAAACATTCCACGGCACAAACAAATTTATTTGCGATTTACGCGTATACAAGTTTCAGTGTTGGCCAACAGCCCCGAAATCACAGCTGTTTGCATAACGCCACTTTGCAGCACTGATTTCCGTACACCATCAACAGTGTTGGCTAACGTCCCGAAGTCACAGCTGTGTTTGCATTTTGCAGCATTGATTTTCGACCAAAATTAGCCGGCTTTGGGAAAATAAGAATTTATAATATAATTACAAAATGACTGCATTCGAGGGTAAGTTATAATCAATCTTAATGGTTTTTTTAACTAATTAAACTGTTTTCTGCAGAGTTCGGCGTGCTCCCGGAGCTGGGAAAGGCCACAGACGAAGCGGACTGGACGTAAGGAATGAGAAATCTTAGCTGTCTTTACATAAAAAATAACTCCTTCAAATTGCAGCCTGCCCACCGATGTCCAGGCTGAGGCCATCCCCCTGATTCTAGGCGGCGGCGATGTGCTGATGGCCGCGGAAACTGGTTCGGGAAAGACGGGCGCCTTCTGTCTTCCCATCCTGCAGATTGTTTGGGAGACACTGCGCGACATAGAGGAGGGAAAAGGTGGTGGCAAGGGCGGTGCCGGGGGAGCGGCTGGATCGGTGGCCCCCTGGACCATGTCCTTCTACGATCGCGGCAACGCTTTGGCCGTCACACCCGATGGTCTTCGTTGCCAGGCGCGAGAGTTCAAGGAATGGCACGGATGCCGCGCCACCACCGGAGTCCGCGGTCGGGGCAAGTTCTACTTCGAGGCCACGGTCACGGACGAGGGCCTGTGCCGCGTGGGCTGGTCCACGCAGCAGGCGAACCTCGATCTGGGCACCTGCCGCATGGGCTTCGGGTTCGGCGGCACCGGCAAGAAGTCCAACAACCGCCAGTTCGATGACTACGGCGAGGCCTTTGGCAAGGCAGATGTCATTGGCTGCCTACTGGACTTGCAGCGCCTGGAGGTTAGCTTCACCAAAAATGGACAAAACCTGGGCTTAGCCTTTCGCGTGCCGGATAACCTCGCCAAGGACACCTTCTACCCAGCCGTGGTCCTTAAGAACGCCGAAATGCTGTTCAACTTTGGAAAGACTGAGTTCAAGTACGCTCCGGGCAACGGATTCGTGGCCGTCTGCCAGGCTGGAGCGGAGCACAGCAAGGCAAATCCGTTGGCCAGTCCCACAGCCAGTTCCGTGTCGGCCACTCCGGCGCCCAATGCTCCCCAGGCGATCATCATAGAGCCCAGCCGGGAGCTGGCCGAGCAGACCTACAGCCAGATCGAGAAGTTCAAGTACCACCTGAGCAACCCCGAGGTCAGCTCCGTGCTCCTCATCGGCGGCGTGCGCCTGGAGGAGCAAAAGGGTCAGCTGATGCAGGGCGCCCACATTGTGGTCGGCACACCGGGGCGCCTGGAGGAGATGATCAACAGTGGGCTTGTGCTGCTCACCCACTGCCGCTTCTTTGTGCTGGACGAGGCCGACGGTCTGCTCAAGAGTGGCTACACGGAGCTGATCAACCGCCTGCACAAGCAGATACCCAAGATCACCACGGACGGCCGCCGCCTGCAAATGATCGTCTGCTCAGCCACGCTTCATGACTTCGAGGTGAAGAAGATGGCCGAACGCCTGATGCACTTCCCCACCTGGGTGGACCTCAAGGGCGAAGATGCCGTCCCGGAGACGGTGCACCATGTGGTGTGCCTGGTTGACCCGAAGGCGGACACTCGCTGGCAGTCGCTGCGCCAGGCCATACCCACCGACGGCATTCACGACCGGGACAATGTCCATCCCAATAATCCCTCGGAGGAGACATATTCCCAGGCGGTAAAGCTGCTCAAGGGGGAGTACTGCATCCACGCTATAGACAAACACAAGATGGACCGCGCCCTCATCTTCTGCCGCACCAAGCAGGATTGCGACAACCTGGAGAAGTATTTCCGGCAGCGCGGTGGCCAGCGCTACTCGTGCGTCTGCCTCCACGGCGACAGGAAGCCGCAGGAGCGCAAGCAGAACCTGGAGATGTTCAAGCGCCAGCAGGTCAAGTTCCTTATCTGTACGGATGTGGCGGCACGCGGTCTGGACATCACCGGCCTGCCCTTCAGTGAGTTTTTAATTTACTGATTAGGGAAAATTTAAGAACACTTCCTCTTTCTAGTGATCAACGTGACCATGCCAGATGACAAGGCCAACTACGTTCATCGCATTGGACGCGTGGGCCGGGCCGAGCGCATGGGCCTTGCCATCAGTCTGGTGTCCACGGTGCCGGAGAAAGTCTGGTATCACGGCGAATGGTGCAAAACGCGCGGTCGCAACTGCAACAACACCAACCTGACCAATGTACGCGGCTGCTGCATTTGGTACAACGAGCCCAACTTGCTGGCGGAGGTGGAAGACCATCTGAACATCACAATCCAGCAGGTGGATAGCGCCATGGATGTGCCCGTCAATGACTTTGACGGCAAGGTGGTGTACGGCCAGAAGAACCTTAGCTTGGGCACTGGCTACGAGGATCATGTGGAGCAGCTGGTGCCCACCGTTCGCAAACTAACGGATCTGGAGTTGCAATCACAATCTTTATTTTTGAAACGTCTTAAGGTCTAGAGCGGTATCCGTTTGCTAAGCAACGAGAGGAGAGGACAGGACAGGGTGTGGCGTGGGATGAGGCGACTGCATGACCTTCTCATGCGGGAATACTTTTGCGGCAAACACACACACGACACACACACACATAAATAAGTAGGAAGGCGGAGCTCAAGCTCCAGAGAATGATCCAGAGTTACGAGAAACATTCAATTAAACTAACATTAAAATCTTCCGTCTAAAGAGTATACAGCCTCGGGCGGGATCTGGAGCTGGAGTCACTCCTCCTCCTCCTCCTCTTCCTCGTCCTCCTCATGGAACTCGGTGCGCATCTGCTGCAGCTGTCTGAGTTGTTGGCACAGCTGGTTGCCAAAGGACTCCACGTAGCGAGGACTGATCTTGTCTAGCAGTGCATAGGGTGTTTCAAAGATTTCCTCATCCTCCTCCTCCTCGTCGCCACTGTTGCTCCCTCCTCCATTGCGGAGCAGAGCCGAGATCCGCTTGTCCTCGTCTATGGTATCGTACTGGGAAGAGACAATCTTGAAGCCACGACTGGTCACCTGCACGCAGCAGGTGGCACTCTCGATGGTGCGAATGTTGAGGAAGATCTGCGTGGCATCGCTGGCCAGCTTCGAGGAGATGCAGATTTCGGCAACATGCGCCTTCACGTCGTTAATGATGGCATTGGCCTCGTCCACACAGTTGAACGGCTGCTCCTCGTCGGGCTCCACGCTGGCTTTCGGCTCCCCCATCGTTCCACAGGCGCCACGGAGTGCTTCGGCTCGCGTTTTAATTGAGTCCCAGTCGATTTCCTTGGCTTTTCACAGGCGCAACATGTCTTTTCTTCTCCATATGTCACCAGTGCTGGCATTTCTGTCTTTGCAAAAAAAGCTAGATTAACAAAAAAAGCTAAAAAGCGAAATTACAGGGGGAAATTAGGTAATTTTTATAAAATAATTATTTCTTGTATTCCAAAAATATGTGGATTTTTTAGAATTTATAAACATTAAACAAAAAAAAAACACTCAAAATGTTCTAAAATTAAAATTAATGAAAAACAAAGCTACTTTAAAGAAATAGATAGATTTCCCGCTGCTACCTGTTTTCAATATTTTTCCATAGTCACACATAAAAAAGCCAAATCTGACGGGAAAAAACGGAAAGGCACCACTGATTGCTTGGCATGCAGCGGGAATACTCGGAAGCATTGGACACACTACTCCAGGAGGCCGAGGAGTTGTGCATTGGCAGTAACGTTGCTGAGCTGGACCAGGTGCCCACAGCCGTGGAGTTCTGCCGCGACTACTATGCCAAGAACCAGCCGGTGGTTATCCGGCAGGCGCTCTCGTGGCCGGCAATCGGGAAGTGGACCCCGGAGTACCTTATCCAGGCTCTCCACGACAGGACAGTGGACGTGGCCATAACGCCCAATGGCTATGCCGATGGCCTGGCCACCCAGAAGGGTCAGGAGTACTTTGTCCTGCCGCTGGAAACGAAAATGAAGTTATCGGAAGTGGTCCGGCGCCTGGATGATCCCACCGGAGCCGTCCACTACATCCAAAAGCAGAACTCCAACCTAAGCGTGGACCTGCCGGAATTGGCCGCCGATCTGAGGGTCAGTGACCTGGACTTTGCGCAGCAATCCTTCAATAAGCCGCCCGACGCCATCAACTTTTGGCTGGGCGACGAGCGAGCCATTACCTCTATGCACAAGGATCCCTACGAGAACCTGTACTGCGTGATCTCCGGCCACAAGGACTTTATCCTTATTCCCCCGCATCAGCTGAGCTGTGTGCCGCGCCGGATTTATCCCACGGGCGTATACAGGACATCGGAGAGCGGGCAGTTCCACATCGAACCCATTCGGGACGAGGAGGGCGGCGTACAGCTCACCGAATGGGTCAGCATTGATCCGCTGGCTCCCGATTTGGCCACATATCCAGAGTACGCGCGGGCCAGGCCGCTGAAGGTGCGTGTGCACGCGGGAGACATCCTGTACCTGCCCAACTACTGGTTCCATCATGTGAGCCAGAGCCACAAGTGCATCGCTGTCAACTTCTGGTATGATCTGGACTACGACAGTCGCTACTGCTACTACCGTATGCTGGAGCAGATGACGGCACGCGGGACCAAGTAGGAGAGGAGCATCCTAGGATGCAGTGCCTCAGGGATCTATCAGCAACTACATATCCTCCCTCTTCGGTGTGTAAATATATATTTATTATTGTTACATAATTTAATGATAAAAATAAAAACTAAACGTAAATGAAATGAAAACTTGGGACAAAAGGATAACAAGGATTTAAGAGCTGAAATTGAGTTGATGAAGTATCTGTTGTGAGCTTAGGAATGTGTGTGTAGTGGTGGCTTGGCCGCAACCTGCGGCTAGTCCAGACTGACGTCCGTCTTCTCCACGCCCGAGGTGGAGTCGCCTGTGGGCTCTCCTCCATCCGCCTCCTCGTCAGGATTCTCATTGTTCTCGCACTCCTGGTCGCCACTGCCCGAAGCGGAGACGTTCTTCTGGTCAGCCTCGGCCAGGTCGGCATCGTTGTTAGAGTCCTGCTCGCGTTCGCGTTCCCTTTTGTTTGCCTGCTTCTTGGTGGGACTTTCAAGAGGGGACGGCTCCTGGGACTTCACCTTGCAGCCGCCCTGATGCGGCTGCTCCACCACAAACAGCTGCTCCAGGTAGGAACGGTACCAGAGCAGGAACTCATCACGCTGCCGCGGCATGTCCATCTTCTTTATCTTGGCGTAAATGCGTTTGGGCGAGATTAGTGGGGAATTGGCGGCCGAGTTCTGGGCAGCAGTGGCCGTCAGCTTGGAGACCTCGGCCAGCAGGGAGTCATTGATAACGGTGTTGTTGTGCGTCTGGTTGCGAATGCGCCGGATGATGTACTCTATCAGCTCGTGATCCGGCGTCACCTCGACAATAGAGCAGGCATCCAGCCTTGAACCAGCCACCGGTTCCACCGGCACCTGGAGCATTTGCTGGCAATAAAGACGCAGTTGGTTAAGCTTGGCACAGTGATAGCTCCAGAGATCAGATAGCTATGGGGTTAGTCGATTACTTCTTAGTCCTCTAAAGGGTTTCCTCACAGGGGGGGAATTTTGTATAACTAAGACCTCTTAGGGGAAGGAGAAGGAAATCACACCCCTTTACTTACCTCGTGATTCTCGGTACTCGCGGCAGTTGGTTCCTCCGAGGGACTGGTCTCGCTCTCCTCTAGGTCATGGCCGTTCTGAGGGATGACCACAGTCAGCTGTTTTACGGCCGCTGCCTTCTCATCTTCTGGCCGTTCGCTGTCCAGCTGCAGGCGCATCACCTCCAGCGGGGTTTCACTGCGACTCTCGGTGGCCTCCGCATCAGCATCAGCATCTTCTTCCGCATCTCCCGCAGGCTCGTTCTCCTCTTGATTGAGGGCCTTCCGCAGACTATGCGGCTCCTGGGACTGCTGCAGTTGATGCTGTTGCTGTTGCTGCTCGAAGAGCGTCTCCAGCCTGCGGTAGACATCCTCCTTGATAGACTCGTAAAACTTGGTGGTGAACTTGTCGTTTTTCAAAGCATTGACCAACAGATTTCGATTCAGTTCTTCGGAAGCCGTCTCCTCTGTCTGCTCCAAGGCATTGGACTCGTCTGCAGGCGTGGCTTCTTGACCGAGCAGGGGAGTAGTGTCTGCCGCCACCTGTGGCATCTCGAATTCCATGTACTGAGCCGGCAACTCAAAATCAAAACGAAGGTGACGCTGCTGGAGGGGAGTCAGCGAAACCGCAGAGGTGCTGGGCTTGGCCGGCACCTTGTTCCTCTGGTAGAGCGGACTGTTGCCATAGTTGACGTTCATGTTTAGATTGGAGGAGTTGGCTTGCTCGGGGTCTTCATCCCGCAGCGTAGAAAGCTGGGGACGACGACGATTGCGACGTCGCCCGGCACCAAAGATGACATTGTCGTGGTTCTCCTCCACATCGTCCATGTCCTCGTCTTCGTGATCTCGATCCACATGTGATCCAGGATCCTCGCGCCAGTCTCGCTTTCTGGCACTGCCGCCGCTGTTGTTGAGATTATTGCTGCCAGGCAAGGCGGTGGTGAGTGGCGACTCAAAGAACTGGCGACGCTGCTGCTGCTGTTGCTGTTGGTGGATTAAGCCATTCCTTGCGGAGGGCAGGGCGCCCAGGAGCTGCGAGGGTTGAAAGTAGCTGGGACGGGCTCGCTGTCGGCGATATAGTTGAAGGTCCACGTTCAGCTCCTCGTTGCTCTTGTTGGAGAGAAGATTCTGGCGCGAATGGCTGCAAAAGCGCACGGATTTTAATGGGTTAATGCAAGCAGCTGGCAAACGGTTCAAGCATGGGTTAATCAAATTATGTAAAAAAGACATAAGAAAGTCTGATCTATATTGAACTCCTTTCACACCAATGTTAAGGAAGTAAGAGAAGTAATTATAGTCAGTTAGGCTTTTTCATAAAATTAAAGAACTATTTTAAAAGGTCTTTGAATTACTACATTTAAAGTATGATATTCAAGGATATTCACTACTTTATTTATATATTTTAATAAATTCCCAATAAACCTGTTAGTACTGAGTGTTAGTCTTGGTTAGTCACTTTCAACTCTGTTAATGGAACACAATTTAGCTTGCAACGCCTTGGTTGCACTTACCGAGGCACAGAATTGAAAATGAACTCAAGCCAGATGGTTGGATATAACTTTTATTGCTTGGACCTTCGACCGAACCATTTTCCATAACCACACCCCATCACCGTAACATTATTCTTAGCATTTACCTGCGGAAGTTGTCCCAGTAGTTATTGGCCCGATTACCTGGCGGCACCTGGTTGTTCAGGGTGACACCAGCTCCGGCAGATACTCCTCCTCCTCCTCCAGGGGCTCCGCCCGCTCCCTCGGGCAGCGAGTGCAAATTGTTGGCATACTGGTTTTGGGTGCGAAGATTCGCATTGTTCTGATGGATCGTGTTATTGTGGTGGTTCATGAAGATGGGACCGGGACTCGAGCGGTAGGTGGGCGGCGACAGAGGCGTCTCGTTGTTGTAGTGCGTGGGCGGTGGCGGAGGAGCGGCATTGTTGAGAAACTGCTGCGGCGGCTGCTGATGATGATGAGGATCCCCCCCAGTGCGGTGACAGCTGCGCTGATAGTTACTGAAGGCACTCTGATGAGCGCTAAACCCATAGAGCTGCTCCGACTGGGCGCGGCTGCTGCCCAAACACAAGTTGTTGGGTGTTTGGCCAAGACCCGGGCCCACATTGAGATTCGGAGGCGGCACTGACTCGGAGCGCAGGCCGAAGCCGTGATCCTGGCAGGCCACCACGCTCAGGCGATCTTGGAGCTGGGGGAGGTAAAGGTAAGCCTGTGAAGGCATCAGGACTAAGAGGTAAGGATTGACTTACCGCATGTATCTGAGTATTGAGGTTGTCAATCTCCCTCTGCTGGTGCCATAGCGTCTGATTGCACTGGCACACCGAGTTGATGAGCATCTGCTGCGTCTGCATGAACTGCTGAAGTAGCATGGCATCGGACGAGGCGTTCGATCCTGAGGCATTTGAGGAGCCCAGCTGGGTAGCTGCCGGCGTTGGCTTGAACTCTGTTCCGGCATTGGTGCTGGCCTGGCCATAAATCGGTTGCTGGCCATGCCAGGATGTGCCAGAATTGTGCGAGGCTGCGGGTTGGAAAGCAGATTAGACTGCAGGCGGGTTTTATCAAAAGCAAATGTACAACTCACCCCACATTCCCGGAACTGGTGGCATCGGCGGCGGCATGTACTGCGACCTGCTGCTAGAAGGCAGGCTGTCGTTTCCCAGGGACAAGGTATCGATGGTCACATTCAGATCGTCTTCGTTGAGCGTGGACGGAGGTGCCGGAGGTGCCGGTGGCGCCGGGGGCTGTGTCCCACTCGGCTGGCTGCGGCGCTGCTCCACCACTGTGTTGGCCGAGGCGGCTCGCTTGAGCGTAGCCGAGGAGGCAGTGCGCGCATTGGCAAAGTATTTGTCGCTGTCGGTGTCGTCGTTGCCCTCGTCGTCCGCTTCGGAGGTGGTGTTGTTGCTGGCCACATAGCGCTGCTCCAGCTCACGCTGCTTCTGTTCGTACTCCTTGCGCAAGCGCTCGCACTGCAGGCGCAGCTCGTCGCGCAATTGCTCCTTGCTAGGCGTGGCCTGCAGCGAAGATGGATCCTCATCCTCTTCCTCCTCGTCCTCCTCCTCCTGTGCTACCTGCTGTTGCCTCATGGGGGTGGGTGTGGGAGTGAGACTACTCCTCTTCAAGGCCTCCTCGCCCATTTGGACAGCGGCAGCGGCCTGCTGTTTCCGTCGCTCGATTTCCGCCTTGAGGGCCAAGATGCGATCCCGCTCCTTTTGCAGGCTGGCTGCCTCGGCACGAAGCTCGGAGGTGACATCGTTTAGGGCAAACACACGCTGAGCAATTTCAGCTGGAAGTTCGCGTTCCACGCTTGTGCGCTCCTCGCTCCGCCGCTCCAGGGCCGCACCCATGGCGGGCACGCTCTCCTCGATCTGGCTCACCGTGTTCAGCATGCCCTTCAGCTTGGCCATTTGGGCCTTGAGGGCTTCGATGTCGGCCGTCTTCTTGTTGATCATGTTCTGGGCATGGAGGGCTCGCTGGGCGGCATTGGCCGCCTCTTGCCGCATGATGGGCACGTTCCGTGTATACTCCACTGGGACAACACGCTCCTTGGCAGGAGCTGAAGCAGGAGCAGGAGCAGGAGCTGGAGTAGGAGCAGGAGCTTGAGCTGGCTTGGCCGGTGGTGTGGGAGTTTCCTCCCTAACAGGCCTGGCTGTCTCCCTGGCTGTGCGATTGATGCTGTTGAGCTCATCCACAAGATTGCGCATATCTGCCCGCTGGCTGCGCAGAGCCTCCAGCTTCTCCTGCAAGGCCTGCTGCTCAGCCAGGATCTCTGGGCCATCATCCCCCAGCACAGTGCTCAGCTCGTTCTGGTTGTGAATAAAAGCGGTGAGATTCTTCATGCGACCCACCAGGGAGGCCATGTCGTCCTGGACCTGCTGCACCGACTCATACTTGGGCGCCTCCCCGCCGTTGCTGGTGTGGGGCAGTTGATCGGCCTGCTGGCGCAGCTGCTCCATCTCGGTGAGGTGGGACTTGGCCAGGTTCTGGATATGCAGAAGCTTGGCCTGCTCGTCCTGCAAATGCTGCATATTCCGGTTGGAAGCCTCTAGCCGCTGCTGCAGCTCATCGAAGGTGGGCGTTGTGTCAGGAGTGGGCGTTTCCAGGACGCTGTGCAAGGACTGAATGGACTGGGCACGGTTGTCGCTCATCTGTAGAGGAAGTTCCATGGCTAAGTGAGAGAAGTTGGTTGGGTTGTTGAAGTTTAGCTTACCTCGCTTAATGCAACATCCTCCAAGCTAGTCGAATTGACGATGCCCTCGTCCTGCTCGGCGCTGGGATTGATCTCGTGCACCATATTGTAAATATCCTTTAGGGGAAAATAATTATTATTTAGTCTTTAAAGTATATAATCCCCGCGGTTTCAGGACTCACCTCCACAGGATTCGCACTGGACGGCTGTCTGTTGCTGTTCAGATTGTCTACCAACTCCAGCATGGAGCGCCACACCTCAACCTGGCTACGACCGGCTTCGCTTCTGGAGCTTAGACCGGGTAGACTGAGCAGGCGGTGGACAAGTGTCTGCAGGCCGGACTGCTGCTCCTCTGTGCCGCTAAAGTTGCCGTTAACGTTTCCGTTGCTGGTGGTGGCGTTTGGTATAACCACGCCTACTGCGGCATTCGGGGGCGTCGACTGACGCAGACGCTGCAGGGTCGACGAGGAGGATCCGGGGGCCGCTAGAGCAGTGGATGATGACGTTGTCGACGGCTGATGCTGGACGCGCTGGACGGGTCGCACGGGGAAGCGATAGCGCTGCTGCTGCTCCTGCAGTTGCTCTGCCAGGAAGATAGAGAGAGAGAGGAGAGAGATGAGGCAAGTTCAGTGCTAGTGTGGGTTGGACGACATCGTCTTCGTGGGCGTTTATTTTCGTGCGCTTGGTATTTATAGAACATGAACTGGCGCACCGATCATTGTGTGGGCCAGCGGCCAGCACTTGGCCAGGTGCGGAAATTGGAAATTACTCAATGAATCCGGAATGGAATTTGTGCCTCCCCTGAATATTCTAGGCGCTCACCTGATGAGTCGTAGCTGCTGCTGTGTTCCGCCGCCAATTGACGCAGGACCTCGCGCTGCTGCTGTGCCGGTGGCCTGGTTTCCGTGGAGCTGATGCCTGAGAGCTGATCCTCCTGGGTTCGGATCTGGCCGTTGGTGATGCGGGCGCGCTGAAGCAACTCCTTGAAGCAACAGCAAACAAAGGTTAGCAGAAATGTCAGCACCAGAAGGGCGGCAATTTTGCTGCTTTCTATATAGGGTTTATATATATATCTGTCTATTCAGATATATATATATATATAAAGAAGGCCGATCGAGAATCGATGTGCGCTGTGGCTGCGTTCGTTTTCGCTACTGAACCTGTGGCCAACACGATCGCTGGCCGATATGAGTGCAAAGTGTATTTATAAACCGAGAGAGGATGCCTTCGTGCTCTTCTACCACGGGGATAACTCACGTTCAGCGTCTTCAGCGTCTCCCGCTGCAGCGGCTCCACGAAGTCCATGTCCGGCTCGCCCAAGTGCTCTTGCTGACGCCGGGAGCGTGCGGATCTGTTGGTCGCTGTTCCGCCTGTGGAAGCTCCATTCACTTGGAGCTGCTGCTGTTGCTTGGGCACGGCGCCGGTTGCTCCGCCCACGGAGTTGTTGTTGCTGCTGGCGCTGCTGCCGTGGTCGGCGGCCTGCTTCAGAGGCGGCGCCATTATAAAAACTTAAAAAACAATAACTAATTGTATACGCGATTGGTACAAACTTTCGGAAACTAGGAAATTTTACTATGTATATTTTTTTGTTGTACTCAAACTTTGTTTTTTTTTTTTTTATTTGCCGAGACAGCTGACAAAAGGAGTGTTGCCAGATGCAAACATGGCTTTTATCTTAAACAATCTCACAAACCCAGAAGCGGGTTCTGGGCACACTAAAATTAAATTAATTTTTAAACAAATTAAATTAAACATTTTTTAAGCGTTTAAATCCGCACTTAGCTTAATATTTAAATAATATATACTCCAAAAAAACCGCTAAGCTTTCCTCCTTAAAATTTATAACCGCCATACGATATTTAAATTTAATCGTTATGTTTAAATTTAACGAAATGAAAAGAATTAATATGAGTTTCATTAATATTGAGTACGATAAAAATTAATTTGCATTATTTTTATATTTTTAAAGAATTAAACACATAAATTTACGGAATTTATGATTTCAGGAAGATCGTATAGATTTAGCAAAATTCATAATTACGATATTCATGTAATGGTTGTCATAACATCAAATTGTGCTTAAAATGAATGAAATTAAAATGAATTAATGCTAAATTTAACAATGTTGTAATATTATCAAATGAATTAAATATATAAATTGTTGGAATTTACTATAATTAACCAAGATTGGCTAAATATAAAATACGATATTCGCATAACGCTTCTTATAGATGTTGCAAATGATTATTTAAGATATATACTAATATTTGAATCGTAATTGGACTTGACCCATTTATTTACACAAATCATAAATCTCATTTAACGACGCTTAATCAAATATTTATTAAAAAAGTATATATTTCACAGTTATTAATTTTTATAGTATACTCCTTCCTTGAATTGTTTTTAAATTTTCAAGAAATTAATTTTAGGGAATTTATTAATTAAACGAAGATAGTATAAGTTTAGCGGTTTGCCTAATGGTCCTCATAACATCTCATATAAATAATAATTTTAAGATAATAATATGATTTCAATCATAGCGGAAATGGGCCCATTAATTAAACAAATAAAAAACCCCATTTTACGACGGTTAATCATATATTTGTTAGATAAGTATACATTTGACAGTTATTTATTTGTAAGATATACTCCCATCTCTTGGTAATTCAGCATTTATTATGTAGTAAGCTATTTTCCCTGCTTGCGCTGTATTATCTCCTCCTTGAGCGCCCTGATCCGATCCCTCTCCTCCCTCAGGCTCTCCGCCTGACCGCGCAGATCGCTGGTGAAGTCCGTGAACATATTGAGCATTGAATTCAGCAGCTCCGCATTGTCGGCGGGTGGACTTTGACTAGAACTTGGGCCCTCGATAGACTCCTCCGATTCGGCGGCGGCCACACGTACCTCGGAGGTTGTGGACTGACGACTGCTCGTGCTGGAGGAACTGATCTGTGTCGTCTGCCTGGAGGACATGTGCTCTTCGATCATCTTGGTGGTGTCTACCATGTGCTGGACACGCTTGAACTGAGCCTTCAATTGGGCAATCTCGTTTAGCTTCTCCTGCAGGTAACTGGCCGTCTCCTCCTTGTCCTCCTCTTCTTCCTGAGTCTCCGGAGCAGTTTCCTCTGTGGGAGTGTCAACCGAAGAGGTCGAAGACTGTTCTGTCACCGCTTCCACTTGGCTGGCCTCCACTTGACTGGATTGCACTTGGCTGGTCACCGTCTCCTCTTGCACCATGCGGACTGACTGCCGTTGCTGATGACGCTGGGCATTCAGCAGGGTGAGCTCGGCGGCTCGCAGCCGCAATGTCTCCATCTCCTGGAGCAGCTCTCGGTGCTCCTCCTGCATCTCCTGTAGTTGCCGGTTGGAAGCTGCCAGGCGCTAGAAAATATTAAAAACAATTATATTATTTTTATTCTACAAATTGTCGTATTTATTTAAAAAAATTTCTACTAGTTGTATTCTTGAACCTTTATGATTGGTTCTGGCATTTTTAGAATGCAAATCTGCCTTGAGTGCCACGAAGAATATGTAAAGGTCTCTGAGTTGTATTGTTCTAGAATTTTCGAAATGACATGCATTTAATATGCCAACCTTTTGGTTGAAAATAAGAAGAAAGAACAATAATTAAATGTACGACAAATACAATGTTAATGGCCGAAAACACCTACAGCATGTATGTAGCAATTTTTATTTAAATTATTAGAAAGAATGTGAGTTTAGTGCCAGTGAATTCTTAATGGTATCATATAGGATATTTTTTAACTCAAGAAATTTTAAGGTTAATTTTATCTTATACATTTCAATTATTGGGGTTCATATTAAAAATGTATAAGATAAATGAAACCCTAAAAGTTCTTGAATTAAAATATATGTTCCGAATAATCTAAGATTTCTTATTTTATATTCTAGAATCTAGATTGAAGCTTACCTCACTGAGGGCGGCATTCTCCCCGTTTTGGGGCCTATTCAGCTCGTTGACCATTTCTTACTCGATGTGCCTGAAGAAGAACAGAGGGAATCTTTTGTATTACTTACTATATGCACACATATCGCGCACATTAATGAGTTTTTTTTTTCCAATACAAACACAGGCCCACCGCAAGGCACTGTCTATAAATAAATTCCCATTTGTTGAATTCACTTCATGCTTTGACAAATGTCAATCATTTTGGCATCTCCGAAGACAACATGGCCAAATGCAGTAATTATGCAAACTTACACTGAGGTGTGAGTTTCTCTCAGCAGTTGATGAATAATTTCTTTTTAAATAATATTTGTTTTGAGTCCCGGAGCAGCGAGCAGTGTTCAGAGAGATGCCCCAATTCCAACTGAATCGAAGTGCCGAAAACGAGAATTTTTCAAACGATACGCGATGCGTTCGTAGAATTTCGTGGATCAGGCGGCGAGTGTTTCGGTAATGATGTGAGAGATCTTGAATCTTATATTCTAATTATATACACAGAGAGAAATTTATCATGACGAAATGTGTAAGAAAAGGAAAATGGGTAATTGCTGTCTTAGAATAAATTAATGTAATACCTTTTATTTTTATTTAAGTGCTTATCAAATATTTGTAAAAATAAAGTAATGATTACAAATATAAAATAATTATGTTAAATAGAAATTAGCAGCTAAGTGCTTATGAATACAAAATGCATACCGATTAAAGGAAGGAAAGAGCGAGTGTAATTAAAAAAAATTAAACCACTCAAGAACCCTTGTTACCCCAGAATTAATATGTCACCTGTGTAAACATCGATATAGCGATATCACAATCAGTTGAATGTTTGAAACTGAAATTAGCAAATTTTCACGGGCTGCAGAAAGCAGTTGGGCTAAGAAGCTAACGATGAGTAGAGGTGCGTGAGTGAAGAACTCATATTCATGGATACTCAAACAATTTATTTATTTTCTTTTTTTTTAAGAGCAATTGTTTGTGATTCTTTTGGTATGCGGAATACTGGCAACCAGAGCTGAGGATGGAACTGCAACTGAAGGAGAGGCTGGATTCTCTTTAAGCACAACTTCTCCCGCTTTCGTTGAGAAAGATGACAATTCTCTAATTCTGGGTAATCTCAGTCTATGCGGAAATGTGGCAGATAATGTGTTTCTGCCCTTTGTGGGAGACTGCAATAAGTATTACCTCTGTCGATGTGAGTGGGAATCAAGCTATAAAATTAATCATTTCATGATCATTCATTATTCTGTATTTTTTAAGCTGGCCAAGCCATAGCCTTGCAGTGTGAATGGCCCTACGAGTTCGATGCTCCCAGCCAGAGCTGCGTGAATGCAGGTCAGGCGGAGTGCCTTCCCACCTGTGAGGCCTTCAACTTCACCACGTTTAGTTACCAGCGCACCTGTACCAAGTACGTGCTCTGCTACTACGGACGTCCTGTGCTGAGGGAATGCCACGATGGCCTCCAGTACAACTCCCGAACGGATCGATGCGACTTTCCCAAGAATGTGGACTGTGTGGAGTCAGAGTGTTCCATCTACTACAATGCCTATCATTTGCGTTATGTGCCTAGCAAGGTGTCCTGCGAGAAGTACTTCCTTTGTGGCAATGGAGTTCCCAAGGAGCAAACCTGTACGCCAGGCTTGTACTTTAGCACCAAGTGCGATTGCTGCGATATTCCATCGAAATCGGACTGTCAGGTGGGTTTGAAGGTTATATCCCAAAGTGAACTGATTGAGAAGCCTTAACCTTTTAGATCCCTGCTGATCAGCGAAAGGCGCAGATCTTCTCTCCTCTTCGTTCTGGTGTAGTTAAAGGGATCTGTCCTTCTGCAGGTGCCCACTTCATTGCCCACGAGTCACGTCAAGATGCTTACTACTACTGCGTGGAAGGTCATGGCTTGGTCCTGGACTGCTCTCCGGGTCTTTGGTATGATCCCAAGATTCAAGAGTGCCGTGAACCCCATAATATGGGCCGTTAAAGAAAGTTGAGTCAATAAAATGTAATTCAGTAAAAATGGAAGTAAAAATCTTGTTTGGGTTTCTGCAAATATTATATGTTTATTATTAAATTAAACTAGAGATTGAAATGGATAAGGAGATTCTAAAGCAAGAGTTCTTCGCCCAGGATACCGCACATTTTCTTGTGATTCTCCTCAGTGTGTAATTTTCAGCATGTTTTAGGATTTAGGCTTATGCTCTAAGAACTCATATTAAAAGAATTTCAGGTATGATAACGGAAAATCTTTATTTTCAAGACTTAAGCGCCTACGAATCGCGGCTCTCGGCACTCTCCACGCTGGGCATCAAACACCAGACCAGGTGTGCAGTCCAGGATGACGCCGCGTCCATTCAGGCAGTAGTAGTACGCATCCGGGCGCTTCTGGTGGGCAATGAAGTGGGCTCCCTCCGAGGGACACTTGATATCTGCGCTGCGTGGAGGAGCTCGGGCGAATGGCAAGATATTGCGTTGCAGACTCTCAACCTGAAAGACACGACACCACGCCTCAGATAGTTTCCAAGAACAAAGGAAAGAGCCAATCTTTAATACCCACCGTACAGTTGACCTTGGAGGCAAAGTCGCAGCTCTCGGTTTTCGAGTTGTACTGCAGACCATTGGAACAGTTTTGGACCGTAGGCAGGCCGTTCAGGCAGACGTAGTACTTGCTACAGCTCGCCTTGCTGGGTATGAACACAATATCCTCCGGATTGTTCTCCCGGATGCACAGGTTGTCCGCGCAGTCCACATACTGGGGATAGTCGCAGCGATCGGTCTGGGAGTTGTATTGCAGACCATCGGAGCAGGCGCGCACCACTGGGGTGCCATCGAAGCAGAGCACGTACTTATTGCAGGTGCGGTCGTAGCTGAAGGACTCCAGACCACGGGCCTTGCATGACGGAATGCAGGAGGCCTCCATCACCCCAACGCACTCCTGGTCGCGGGAATCGAAGTAATAGTCTTTGGGACACTCCCGGGGAATGGCTGTCTCACCTGGAGTTGGTATGAGACACCATTGAGTTTTATAGGAGGAGAAGGGGGGGAGAAGGCTACTCACTCATGCACAGGTAGTACTTGGTGCAGTTGCTTACGTGCGGCAGGAAAAGGTTGTCTACCACATTCGAGCAGATGTTGATATCAGCATCAGTTGCTCCAAAGCTACCGATCAAGGCCACGATGGCCAGGAGGGTTATGGGGTAAATCACTAGAAGAATTGATTGGAATTTAGACTGGCAAGCTTCCTGGCTGTGGGGCTCTACTTACTCATAGAACTCGGTTTCCTCCACTCACTATCGCCTGAGCTCGGAGAACGTCTCTATTTATAGGTAAAACTCTTTTGGCAATCAACTTGCTATTTGTTTTGATTCTCAGCGAATTGGAAGAGTTATCTGATGAGGATGCATGATTTTCTATTGTAATTAGAAGCATTCAAATTGTGCTGGAATAGATAGTGAGGAACAAGAGCCAATCTGGAGGTGGTCTAATCAGTAAGCCTTCTATCAAGCATTAGAAAACACGTGTAAGGATGAGTCACACAGTTGTACTCCTGTTCTGTTGTAATTGTAACATCTGGTTTGAAAGATAAGTAAGATAGTTACTCTAAAATCAACTTTATTACTTTACATAAACATAGAAGAAAGTATATTGAATTGAAGTCTATAGGTTTAAGAATAACTTCAGAAATTTCCGAAAAGTATTTATTTCTCATAAATTATTAATTTATTATTAACTATTATCATCTCATATTCTAGGACTTCACAAAGCCTATTCTCTGGAAAACTTTGAAACCCAATTAAGCAGTCAAATAGATTTTTGGCAAACTACATAATAATGAGAGATGATATCCACGGGTTCTGGGAACCAGTCTATCCTTAGCATTTTGAGTATTGTCTCCACTTATCGCCATGTTTGGCGCAGATAAATTGACATTTGAATTGTTTGGGGAAATTAGGTAGTTTGTCTGAGAGAGGCGTGTGCCGAAATTAGCAAGTGATAAGACCAAGTTGGCAAGAACTCATTAGGCGAAGACAAAGAGAACTCACTTCAAGTTATAAATTGGATACTTTCCAGACAAATGGCAAACAGTTGGGCTGCACATCGCGAACTATCCAGGAGTAAGTAACTCTGAACACCATTATTATTACCTTAACATTTCTATCAATCCCTTTGGCCTTTGACAGTGAAGTGGTTGATAAAATCTGGCTTTCTGCTCACCCTCTTGCTGGTGGATCGTGGCCGAGCCGACGAAGACCTAGTGGTGGCACCCAACCCAGGTGATGATGGCAATGCTGAAGACGATATTTCCATCAAGTATGACATGTACAACAGCAGCATCAACATCTGTGAAAATGTGGCAGATGAAGTCTATTTGCCCTATGTGGACGACTGCGATAAGTACATCGAGTGTCAGAGTGAGTCAATCTGGGGAATAAAAAATAATAATATATAATATAATTATTCGTAATTAAGATGGCAAGATAGCTAAAATCGGCAGCTGCCTGGAGCTAGAGAGGGCAACTCCAACCCTCTGCCTTGAGGAGGGTAAGTCCTGCAATCTGGGATTCGACCCGGTGTTCCAGGTGTGCACCTACAGGAGCAAGGTTCAGTGCCTGCCCACCTGCGAGAGTTTTGCTCTAAGTAGCTTCTGTTACGACAACACCTGCACCAAATATGTTCTATGTTACTACGGACGCCCTGTGCTCCGGCAGTGCCACGACCAGCTCCAATACAACAATATGACCGACCGCTGCGACTTTCCCCAGTTCGTGGATTGCGTGGCCAATGATTGCTCCGCTACCAACAACCCGAACAACATCACCTACATAGCCAGCAAGGCCTCCTGCAGCAAGTACTTTGTCTGCTCCAATGGCCGACCCTGGGAGCAGGAGTGCTCTGCCGGTCTGCTGTACAACCCCGAGTGCCAGTGCTGTGACTATGCCAAGAATGTGGAGTGTTCGGTAAGTGGTTTTAGGGGGAGAATTATCTTTGGAATAAGTTGCTCTAAGATTTGTATTTATTTTCTTTAAAGATTGATGCCACGGCCAGGAATATTAAGCCCTATTCCCGCTCTCCTCTTCGCCGAGCTGACATCCAGTGTCCCCAGGTGGGAATCCACTTTTATCCGCACAAGTATCGCCAGGATGCCTACTACTACTGCGTTGATGGCCGTGGAGTCACCTTGGACTGCACTCCGGGCCTGCACTACGATCCCAAGGTGGCGGAGTGCCGCGAGCCGCAAAACGTGGGTCTTTGAGGGTTTTCGGAAATAAAGAAATATAATGAAAATTAGAAGGGAGTGTGTCATCCTTTTTTTCAAGTGTAAAAAATGATCTTTAACGAATTTTATCGACCTGATTAAGCTCTTTTCGATTAACCTTTCCTTATCGGCTGGCAACTCTGATAGACAAGGCGCCAAAAGCTTTAAAGTTTTGTTTTAAATAAATTTGAATTCAGGGCGCATGTGCCGTGCAGCCACCGTGCTCTTGGAGAGAGCAGCCTTTCTCCCACTTTCGCTCTCTTTCTCTCTCCGCCATTCATGCTGTGTTGCACCCGCCCACCCGCTCGCCCACACAGGCGCACGGCCACACATACAGAAAGCAAAAACAAAGCGCTGTCTGCTGGCAAACGAAACAGAAAAAAAGAAAAGCGCCACTCGTGGAGAGGGTGGTGGTGGGGCCGAGGCAAAGGGGGGTTGGTCTGCGAAACTCATGAAAGTGAAAACGAGCACGGGCTGCTGCTGGTGCTGCCCAGCAGCTGCACTCGCACATTCAGTTGGCTGCGAGTCCTTGCTCCGTTCGAATCGCAGGCGCCGCACTCACCACCCACCGCCGCTCCCCCGTCGACGTCGCCACACATTGTCCCCGTCCGCCTTTGCCTACGCCTCTGGAAAATACAGTTATTCGAGCGCGATTCCGCGGCAAGGAAAGTATCTCCTTGCTTTGAATTGAATTGAAAAGAAGTTTGCAAGTCGCGTGAGTCCTTCGCGTGAGTGTGAGCAGCTCCTTCTAGAGGGATATTTATTTGTGTGTGCTCTCGTCTCGTGTGTGGTTGTCGGGTCAGTTGAGCGTTCAAGGACTCTGCTGCAGCGAAGAAAACCAGAATCAGAAACAGAAACAACAATATGTATGCAATAACGGCCAGAAACGTGACGGCCGCGTGCCAATAAAGACGGAGGAGGGCATTGAAAAGCTGAAGGGGAAATATCTGAGAGCTCGAGAAAATATATATTGCAGGTAAGAAGAAAGCGTGCTGCACTTGAAAACAGCCCACATAGCCACAGCCACAGTACATCCCACACACACACAGGCACACAGGCACCGCATTGCTCATACGCAGCGTACGCCATCAAGTGGGCAGGCAGGCATTCAGTATCAGTCCCTGACTGCACCTCCCCTTGGAGCCACTCGAATGGGACAAATTCACTTCCCGCCAACGAAAAATCGCATATAAAACAAGCGCTCGTCACTCGCAAAGGTTAACCATCCGAGTGAGAATGAAAAGGCAAATGTATAGGGGGGTTGTTTCAGCTTTAAAGTTTACAATTTCTGTTTTGTTTTGGCATCTTTTCCCCATGACGCATAAATTTCATCCGCCGGAGGTGAGGATAATGCTCGGGTAAACACACAGCGGCAAACACGAATGTCTGGCATTTCATTTATGCAATGGACGGTCAAAAGAGGTTGGGATAGCTCCCGATTCCCAAGAATTTCCCAGTGCCTGGCCCAGGAATTTCATTCAATAAACATTTCTTGCTACGTTTCAGTGTGTGTCATCTGGCAATTTCAATGGAGGCCACCTTTTCCATGGCAATTGTCGTTTAAAAAGTCTGATAATAGTAGTGATTTATAGAGCTTTTTATTTTTATTTTAATTTGATTTGAATAATTATGATTGTATTGTATTGCTTTAAAATAATAATGACAAAGAAAACTTTATTAATTATATTTTATTTTATTTTATTAATAGTCTCTTGATTTGCTAAATATATTTTTTCATTAAATAATATCAACTTTTGAATAGCAGCTAACATTATCTCAATTTTTCTTCATTAGATTAGTTTTTGATTTCCTTCTGGCACTTTGCCCGAACCTAATCCTCTCCTGAATCACTAGGGCCTCTTTGGGCGCTCCATGCTCAACTGTTTCCGTGGTGTAGCGGTTATCACATCTGCCTAACACGCAGAAGGCCCCCGGTTCGATCCCGGGCGGAAACATGTATCGGGTTCTTTCACACAAAACTGGAAGGACTTATTTTTATAAAATTTATTTATTTATTTTTACGAAGAATACAGTTCTAAGACCAACAAATATTAAACTTTATGCAGTTTAGTTTTTTTATGTTAGCCAAGCTCTTTAAAATGATTTTGTACAACGTTTTCAAAGGCCTCGTTAGTCTCTAAAAGGCTTCCTGTATGCATTCGTTGAAATGTAGGCAATGGAAACTAAGCTAAGGAGCTTGTTTCTAATCAGAATCAGTTGTTGGTTTTTAAATAGTACGCTAAAAAAGAAAAATAAATTGTTTAAACAAACTTGAGACACCTAAGTAGAATGTTACACATTTTATTTAATTCTACAGACTTCACCAATTAAACCTTCAACAAATATTTATAATAAGATAAATTAAACCTAAAATTCAAAAACCTAAAAATATACAGCTTTATGCAGGAATTAAGGGTTAAGGAATAACCTAAATTTTATCGAACAAAAAAACATAAATACCTTTGAAAAATATTAAACGTAAAATTCAACCTTATGCAGGAATTTATTATGTGAACAAAGGGTTATTTTTAATCATTTTTCTATCTTATCTCTTAATAAAAACAAAAATATATATATTATGAAAGACAAAAAATCATTATAAGTAAAAAAAATTATGTTCACATGTTTCCGCCCGGGATCGAACCGGGGGCCTTCTGCGTGTTAGGCAGATGTGATAACCGCTACACCACGGAAACAGTTGAAACTAGCGCGTCCCAGAGGCCAACTTTAACGACCTCAGCTGGCGGCTGGCCAATAGTAAAACGAGTTCAGTGAATAAAATCGGAAGAGCTTTTGTATCTATTTAAAGTGAACATAAAGTGATTGCTTCAAGGCGACCGATGCCGAGTCCAAATGATTGGGCAGTTTGCCATCGGTGGAGGGGTCGAAATGTTAATGAAGTATTTTGATAAAAGAATTATTATTTGGTAGGTGCTGCTGGGAAAGTGATTTATGTAGTGGGTAAATATTAATTATATCCAATTAACTAAGCACTCTTTGTGGGAACTCGTAGGCCTCCCCTCTTTCCAGGGAAAACACTTTTCGGTGGTCTGACCTCAGCTGAGACAATGTCAATGCCCGAGTTCCTTTGAGTTCCGCAAAAATCCTGACCAGCAGCATAGAGGCAAATCAAGCTGAACTTTACCCTGCCGAGTGGCAACAAAACTAAATCGCAGGCATCGTTGGGGGCTAGGACTAGGGATGCACAAAGCCAAAGCATTGAACCCTCAACCAGGACTCTCGCAGGACGAGGGGGGTGCAAACACAAACCGAAATCCGAGTGGCGCCAGGCGAGAAATGGAAACGAAATGAACCTATCAAAAGGTTGTCAAAATGTCTCTTTTAAATATGTTTATTTTATTACCCTGGCCCCGTGCCTGAGTATTTATTTATTTGCACTCAGAGCTCCGGCATTGTGTTGTGTAATGCTCTTCTGCTCGAAGAAGTTGTTGACAGCCATTGAACTTTGAACCTTGAGACCAGGCGGACGGGCGGACAGATCACAAAAGTTGCCGAAGTAAAAGTTATTTTATTGTGCGGTTGATTTTTATGGCTGTTGGCCACAGTGCCCACGGTGCGTATGTGTGCTTGATTGTTTATAATTTGAAAAATTCATTATTTCTCTGGGGCTATTTAAGTGCGCTCCTGGCCGTTGTCAGCCTTGATTGGCTAATACCGCAGAGGCACGGTTCAACGAACAGTTAAGCAAATGCAAACACCAGGCACAATGGGACCACAATTTTCTCCGCCCAGGAACACAGTCAGCATCATAATCCATCTTTGAATAGTTCGCGAACTCGAAAGTCTCGCCTTCATCGAACAAAGCAAGACCTCACAAAGAGCCTCCCTGGCTGAAGGGGTTGTCATCGAGAGAACTCTTTTTTGACGCCTTCTAAATTAATAACATTGCGTTTATATAAGTAAACATTTTTTAAAATATTCCTAGTCAAAGATCTGATAATTTATTCTGTACAAACCCCCATTGAGGGCGCCAGTGCCGAGCCATGTCCTTCTCCAACACAACCACTAATCCCAGTCTGTGTGTTGTGGCGCGCTTGGGGCTTTGGTGGCGGCGGTGTTTGGTGTTGGGTTTGCTGCCAATGACACGGGAAGTGAAAGCGTTCAATGAATGTTTTATTTTTCGGGCGGGTTCCTTGACCAGGAGAGCAACCTTTGTTCCTTGTTTCACCTTCGACGAGGGGCGCACAAAGAGGAAGTGCCATGGCAGGACCACCACGACCAGGAACTGTTGGAGACGAGGGGTCGGGTCTGGCAGACAAGGAAGACGACTGAGGCAGCCTCATAAAATGCGATGCGCACGTTTCCTGTTTTGGCTTTTTGGGGATGCAAACCGGGAGGGAAGTGCAGGCGAATTCGTGGCATGGGCACCGGGGATAACTCTCTTCCGTCTGGCAGACACAAAGCCAAATGAGTCAGAGGCGCTTTGTCTAGTCAAGGGCTTCCCCCTGCCGAACACACACAGCGTGAACTTCAAATAAGTTTGCAGCACTTAATGCCAACTGTCTGTCTGTCTCTCAACACTTAAAGAATATGTTTTCGAGATGTATCCGTGTTTTTACTTGGGACTTTAAGTCCTTTAACTGTAAGTTAAAAGGAAATGATTTTAAATCTTTAAAATTCTTTTCCTTTCCAGTTGAATCCTCCTGTGATAGCTATGCATTTCTGGATCGACAAGCGCTCGCAGCAGTGCGGCTTTGGACGCTCCCGCGTGGCCGCCTCGCTGTCCCATGCCGGCAGCGGCCTGAGCTATGGCCATCCGCCGAGAAGAGCCAAGTCCACTAGTTGCAGCGGGAACAATGCGGGCGGCGTCGGTGGTAGTGGCCAGGCCATGCCCTCGGTGCATCGTACCTTGCCGCAGGCACCCTACGACCTTCATCAGCCGGGCACGAGTCGTCAGTCGCAATCGCACTCGCATTCCCAGTATGCAAATAACAATTCGCACCAGCAGCAGCAGCACATGTTGCAGCAACATTCCAGCGGCGGCACCAGCAACAACAACAACGCGAACAGCAGAGATCATGTTGCTGCCGCAGGAGCACCAACCACTGCCAGTAACAACAACAATGCGGCCTCCTCGGCAGCCGTTTTAACCGGAAGCGGAACCATCGTTCCCCTGGTAGCACGTGGCTCCCACTATCAACACCATGGCAGCACACGTTATGCACCCAGGATACAGCAGCAACAGCAACTGTTGCATCAGCAGCAGCATCAGCAGCAACATCAGCATCAGCAGCAACATCAGCATCAGCAGCAACATCCGCCGCAGCCTCAGCAACACTACAGCTATCATCATCCGCAGTTTGGCAACATGGCGGTGCCCGTGAGATACTACGATGCGCATCAGCAGCAGCAACAGCAGTATTCGGGTCATGTGTACGCGTGAGTGCATAAAACCTTAGTAAATTATACCCCTTTTCATAAAGCAATCCTATTCCAGTGACGATGCCTACAGCGCCTACCACCACACATCCCATCACCAGCACTGCACAAGCAATCACTCGAGCAGCGGCAGCCACAATCCGCGTCCATCGACTGCCTATGCTGCGCCACGTCGCCACAATTCCAGCAACAGCATGAGGCATTCCACGACGCCAGTGGCAGCCACATCTTCAACCGGGGTGGTCACATCATCATCAACAGCGGCAGCGGCAGAAGTGACCACTGCTGCTACCACAACGGCACCGGTGGTCACGGCTGGAACTACTTCGCACAGCAACCAGTTGCAGCAGCAACACCATGCCCTGTTGCAGCACGCAGACTCGCAACTGCTGCCCAGCCACCTGAAGTGCGGCATGTGCGCCTCCCTGGTACTGGCCTCGGTGTTCGTGGCCGGCACCAAGTTCTACTTCGACCACCAGGGCACGGGTCTGGAGGTGCTCATTTTCTGCGCCTTCTCGGCCACCTTCTTCCTGGCCGCCTGCATGGTCAGTCTGTGCCGCATTCCCAAGGGACTGCTCTCCAGTGCGGGTCGTGCCGAAGCACGAGCAGCTGTGTGCCAGAGCCGCGGAGTAAATTCTTCCCTGGCGGAGTTCGATGAGACCCCTCCCCGCGCCTGTGTCTACCAGATGAGGGTGCCATTCCAGGAGCAACAACAACTGACCGCCGGAAGTCCACCGGCTGCGGCAGCCACTGCTGGTCCGCCGCCCTACCACATAGCCATACTGCTGCCGGAACAGACACCGTCGACGATGGGCAAGCAACTGCCCCTGGATGAGTCGCCACCGCCGTCTTACGACAAGATTCTGGTATAGGGACCCCGACCTGATCCTTGACCCCCAATGCACAACGCCAAGTACTTTTGCTCAGTATTTTTCTAAAAGAGATATCACCATTTATATGAACATTTACACGGCATATATACATATATAGATATAGAAGATATATATCAGATAAACATAAACTATATATGCGTACACGAGTATGTACTTTTAAGCCCCGGAGTAATATTTTTACAATTTCTAAGCCCTCTACTAGAACCAGACTCTTCCATCCCCCAGGCCCAGAGACCCGAACACGTCTTCTTCTATTGTCATTTTTGTTCTGTGATATGCTCAAGAGATCAACAAGTCGTAAGCTATATAGATCAACGTACATATGTGTGTGTGTTAAACCATTAGCTACCAACCAATCAGCCAATGCAACGATAAAAATGTAGAAATAGCTGGTACCGTAAAAGTAAAGGGAAATCAAGCAGCAGTATTAGTGGCCAGTTAAAAATAATAAAGTAACCAAGCAAGTGGAAGCATTCACTTATCAATAAATTAAGTAAAACCGATACAAAAATTAAATAAAATCAACAAAAGTTGTATTGAAAATTATTAAATTGTTTTAATTTTTGTTACTAAGGAATCTTTTTTGGAAAAATAGTAATCAGAGTTGGCCCTTTTTTAGATATTTCCAAAGATTCCAGAGATCAGCGGCTTCCTGTTGATTTTTGTAGCCTGCCACACATATAAACACGTTGACAGTTTTTGTTTTTTATTTGTTACTTTTACGGCAATCATGTTAATCCCCTCAAATGGCGACGTATCCACGAAGGACCCTGTTCGTCGAACCTCCCGAAACTTTCTACTTGAAAACCGGCTAATGGTCAGCCAGCATCCCAAGGAGAAGTCGAAGGCCCGACTAGCCACAATGGCAAAGAACTCAGGACCTCTGCCTTATGGCGCTCAACGGCGTCCTGCGGGCGGAACGCTGAGGACCAAGAGCTTTGTCGAGAAGCAGATCCAAACGGAGGACATCAGCGACGAGCGGTTCCTTAGTGCCGCTATGCTCAAGTGCTCGGAGAGGGGGCTCTTCCGGCCAGCACGCAGCGAGGGAGACGAGCCGGAGCTCAGAGAAGGGGAGTCCTGCGGCAAAAGCATGCGTTTGCGGCGAACTGCCTCGAGTTTCGAGCTGGGCAGGATGCCGGAGCAACGCGATGGCTACCAGTCGGGGCAGTACACACTGCCCCGGCTGTTAGCCACCGGTCTTGGCATTGAGTCCAGCTCGGGTGACCAGTCCTCTGCCGGTTCACCCTCCTCTAGGTCAAGTACGCCTAGAGTAAGACAGATGGACATTCCGGAAATGGTGGATGTCGACCTCGATGAAGCGCTGAGTATGCGTTCGCAGACGTCTTGTGATCTGTTTTCCGATTCGCCGCAAGAACAACCGCAGGAGCAGGAGATGCCGGAGGAGCAGTCACAGGAGCAGCTGCAGTCTGAGTCGAATCGAATGCTTTTGGAGGCCGCCCGTGAGCGGCAAAGGCAACTGATCGCGGAGTACAACCGGCTGCCCATTTCCATGGGCACTTTGCGCGTGCGCAATCTCCAGCGGCAGCTGGAGCAGCAGCTGGACGTGGCGGATCACGACGTGAGGGTACTTTCTGAAGAAAAGGCCAACATGCAGCAATTCGAGCTATTAAATTGTAATCGAAGACGGTTATTTAGATAAAATATTAAGCAACACATACTATAGTCGTTTAGATTGGGTCAAAAATGGGTTCTTTCCCTTAAGTTTTTGGCAGTTATTAGACTATAATTTCTTCCTTAAATTCTCTCTTTTAATTTTTAAAAGTGGCAAGACGAATATATATAATATTAATTATGATAATCCACAGGTTCGGAAATGACTTCTTTATTGGGTTGCAAACTTCAGACTTAAATTGTAAAACCTCGCAAGGATCTAAAAAGGTTCCTGAAGAGGATATTTTTATGCTCGCCAAACTCTAGTATATTTTTCATCTAAGTGGTATTTTAACGTTAACTCTTACCGACCACCTTCCGGCGTAATGTTATCTTATCTAACATTTACGTTTTTTTTTTGCGGTTTGCTAAATTATTATCGGCTTCTTCAGTTCCAGTACGATTCTAGCAGCAGCAGTTGTGTCGCGGAAATTGAAAATATTAAAACATGGAAGGAACTGAACGCTTTTATTGCAACGAAAAATTAGTACACCAACTCAGTGTAGCGCTCCTAATACTCTTCAATACTAAGAAACCGGTTATGAAAATCACCGATTCCTACAATATTAACATAAAGCTAGAGACGGATCGAATTAATATAGATATATCCGAAACTAATTGTGATCAAAACCAGGGCGAGCTCCAAGCAGCAGCTCCTGAAGTGGAACAAGTGATAAACACAACAAACAACGCTCCCAGTCCGAGTCCGGCATCCAGCAATAAAATCAAAAGTGAAACTGCATTCATATCTAAACAAATACTCCCAACTACCATTCTGAATAGTCAGCACTTTAGCTTTTTCATTCCATTCATGAAAAACGCAACTGATAAAGAAAATGCTGTCACCGGAGTTGGTGACCCCAATGGCGTCTTTTGGATTGGTTTCGATAATCTACATTCTATAATGGGCGATCGGAGGCATGTATTGAATATAGTGCACACACTGGAAGATGGATCTAAGCGCGACTCAACTTACGATGACTTTAGAGTTGGCTGGGATGGAAAGGGAATCAAGTCCCTGGGGAAATTCTTTGGAAGAACTGGTGAGGACCATCTACGTGACTATGAAAATCAGCCTCCAAAAGAACCGCTGTGGTTTGTTTCCTTGTGGTAAGGAATTCTATTAAATCTTGAAAATCTTTGCCTAATGTATTTCTTTTATTAGTACAATGGATATGGAGACGAATCGGCTTATAAAATCTTCTGTGATGCAAATCAAACCATGGCCTGGAGGATTTTAATTGATTTTTAAACATTTAGATTACACATTGAGTAAAAATCCATGTCCATTGTGAAATTTAAAGAGAGTCGAATTTTTTCTAATTAAATTTATATTAGATTTAGTTTTGTTGACATTAAAAGATACAATAAAAACATAAAACAAAAGTTACGGAGTGACGATTCTATAAAAGATAAGATTTCAAACAAAAGTGAACTGCATATAAAGCTTAAACAGCTGTAGAAGCTTTATTCTGCCAAATTGTTGGTCACATCTAAAATGATTCATAATTTACCAATTTTGTATTACAATTATTAAGAATATTTTGTGAAATATCAAGTATGGAAACGAAAGAAGACAACTCCGTAAAACATATCCTAAAGCAGCTAGACAGGTCGCAACAAATAATAGCTGATCATGCCTTAACGATATCAAATCTCAAGGCACAAATTGCCAAATTGGAGTCGGAAGCCTTTGAAAATGGAAAACATCTAAAGGAGATGAAGAAGCACATTGCCAAGTTGGAGTCCAAAACCAAAAACCAAACCCCTCAGTCCTCGGAAGTGGTCAGGAGCACCGATCTCAGCACTGGTTGGACAGTCATTCAGTGTCGTCAGAGCGGACGATACGAGAACTTGGCAGATAGTTACAAGAACGCTCTGTGCGGCTTTGGCGAAATCGATGGCGACTATTGGATTGGTTTCGAGAAATTGAGCTCTATTATGGCCTCGCACAGCCATGTTTTGGGTATTCAGCTCACCTATTCCGATGGAAGTAAGACCTATTCGCAATACGATGACTTCAAGCTGGGCCGCGGAGGAGATAGGTTCAGGATTGAGTCCCTGGGTTATTATATGGGAAACGATCGGGATTTTCTGCGTTACTATAAGGATCTTCCATTGGAAGTGTCTCTTACATGGGCATGGTGGAATGTTCCCAGTAATATGAGGTAAGAGAACTCATTAGTTACTGTTTAGTTTTTATTTACTCTGTGTTTTTCTTTAGCAAATTGACTCATAGTGAAGAGAATGCTAATTCTGAATTGAAAATTAAATCCTCTAAAATGTATCTAACACGAGCCAAGGGATTGAAGTTTTTAACTCTGCAACAAGCGAATCTATTGAACAACACAAGATGTTATAAAGTATAATTCAATTACTTTACTATACATTGGGTTTTTCCTTAGGAGATCCTAAACTTATTCATTAAAATTTAATTATAATCATATGCTATATTTTTAAACAATACAATACTTTTGGAGGTCTAGTGGAATATTTTGTAAATTGTGAATGTTATTTAGGGGGTTTCCCAAAAAACTCGTATTGACAACAGGCATTTCTGGGGGTTTTTTCATATCTTTGGGCTTATCAGTGTCACTTTTCTTGCTTTGCGAGACTAAACAAAAATAATATTTGATAATGAATATTGATTATTGCGTAGAACATGTAACTCATGACGTCTCGCTGTTATTTTTAAATACTGTTTTAAAATTAGTTATCAGTCATCGTCGCGCACCCTGAAGAGGTATCTAGTCCGCTTAATTGGCGATAAGACGGATGCCCCTATTTACACTTTCCGATGATGCTATCGCCCACTGTTGTGGGTGGCAAAGCAGGGGGGTTTAGGGGAGGGGTAATCGACGTCCGAGCGAGTTGATTGCCCCGTTTGACTTTGCGGGAGGAGCAGTCGACCCCTATGACTTTGGATCGTCGTAATCAGCAGCAATATACTGGAACCCGACCCGGTTAGGCGCCTCTCAGGTGCCCGGCAGTTGCTGTCAAGCGCTTTCAGGGGAAGGAACTAGCCGGAGACACTGCGAAATGCCGATCCAACTAGAGGAGGAGATATTCGGCTTGGCCGTGAATCCGTTCACCAAGTCGCCGGAGATGGTGCGCCGCTACACGCTGAGGAACAGCAAGGGAATGTCCGTGTCGGTGATACAGCTGGGCGCCATCATCCAGAGCGTCAGCCTGCCGGATGCCTACGACAAGGTGGATGATGTCTGCCTGGGGTTCGAGGTGTGTAAAAAGTGTATTTTTGTTTGGTATTCCTATTGTGGTATTACTTCTTTTTTAATATTGATTGATAATATTTTTAAATTGTTTTAAGGACATCGCATCTTATTTGGCCACCAAGTCGGCCTACATTGGAGGCACCCTCGGTCGAGTGGCCAACCGTGTGGCCAATGGGGAGTATGAGGTGAACGACACCAAGGTCAAGGTGACCAAGAACTTTCAGGTAAATATAACGTACTCTCAGAGGCAAGATCATGGAATCCCATTTAAATAAATTAAATTCATATTCATTTCAAAACCATTTCCTTCTACTATTCAGTGTAAGAGCGACTTATCTACCTGTGTATTATTATATTTTTATTTTTATTCTTATTAGGACAAGTACCAGCTGCATGGCGGATTCGTAGGCTTCGACAGCGTCATCTGGGAGGTTGTGCAAAAGTCGGAGGAGGGCGTGGTTTTCCGTCACATGTCGCGCCACAACCACGAGGGCTATCCGGGCAATCTAAAGTGCCTGATTACCTACTCGCTGGACGAGGAGAATCGTCTGTGGGTACGCTTCGAGGCCACCACGGATCGTTCGACGATGGTTAACATTTCCAACCACGCCTATTTCAATCTGGCCGGCCATGGAGCCGGTGCCAAGGGCCTGGCGGAGCACACGGTGGAGATTGCATCCGACCGAATCGTGGAGACAGACGGTGATCAGATACCCACGGGCAAGCTGGTCAGCGTGGATGACACGGTCTATGATCTTCGTCTGCCCGTGCTGATAGGCGACCGCCTGCGGCAGTTCGAGGATCGACCCATCAAAGGCTATGACAACTGCTTCGTGATCAACGACGGCCAGATGCAGAAGAGCGTCAACAAGGTGGCCAAGATCGTGCATCCGCCCAGTTGCCGGGTGCTCGAGGTCTGGACCAATCAGCCCGGCATGCAGTTCTACACGGCGAACAATCTGCCGGACGAGAAGAAAGGCGACGCCCCCATGATTGGCAAGGACTGCATTCACTACAGCAAGCACGGTTCCTTCTGCGTGGAGACCGAGAAGTTCCCCGACTCCATGAACCACCCGGAGTTCCCGTCGATCAGCCTAGAGCCGAATGAGAAATACCTTCACGAGGTTATGTACTGGTTCAAGGTCGAGGAATCCTGGAAATGTTGCTGCAATGACACTGCTTGAACGTAATCAAAATCTCTAGTAAATAAAGCCTGATTCCTGTCCCTGTAAAGTCATTGATTTTATTTTTATTTTTTTATTAGGAATTTAACGCGAAATTTAAAATGCAACTTCAGCTCGATTGCTTCTTTATTTCTGAAAGTTTTATTAAAAGTTTCTATTTTTAGGTGAAATATTTTAGCACAGTCACTAGTCGATATACTTGGCTTAAGGGACAAATTCTATATTTCCAGAATTAGTAAGCTATTTTTCAAATTTTGGATAATATATTTTCTCATGTTGTTTTCTGTCACATATTTTTCTGTTTCTGGTAGTCGTCCGAGTATATTTTGTGTACTACCGGTAAAGTAGAAACCTTGCGAATATTACAATGCACTCCAACAAGTCGGGCGAGATGCGGCAGGAGTCCGACAGCCTGGGGCCCATGGAGGTGCCCATGGATCGTTACTATGGTGCTCAGACGATGCGCTGCGTGCTCAACTTTCGCATCGGTGGCGAAGAGGAGCGTATGCCGGTGAGTTGGGTCAAGGAGCTGGCTAGTTAGCCTAAGTAAATAGTTAATCTTTTAATTATAAATTCCTCATCAGCGCCAGATCGTCCAGGCCATAGGTATTTTGAAGAAGGCTGCTGCCGAAACCAACCAGGAATTTGGATTGGACCCCAAGCTGAGCACAGCGATCTCAAATGCCGCCGACGATGTGATCTCCGGAAAGCTGTACGACGAGGGACATTTCCCGCTGCCCATCTGGCAGGCGGGATCCGGGACGCAGAGCAACATGAACACCAACGAGGTGATCGGCAACCGGGCCATTGAGATGCTGGGCGGCAGGGTCGGCTCCAAGGACCCGATTCATCCCAATGACCACGTGAACATGTCTCAGAGCTCGAACGACACCTTTCCCTCGGCCATTCACATCGCGGTGGCCAGTGGCTTGAACAAGGAGCTGCGCCCAGCGATCACCGCTCTGCGAGACTCTATGCAGTCGAAGACCAATGAATGGAAGGACATCATCAAAATCGGACGTACGCATGTCCAGGACTCGGTGCCAATGACGCTGGGCCAGGAGTTCAGTGGCTACACCCAGCAGTTGACCAACGGGCTGGCGCGGATCGAGGCGGTGCTGCCGAGGATCTACCAGCTGGCCCTGGGCGGCACAGCCGTCGGAACAGGATTGAATTGTCGCCGTGGATTCCCCGAAAAGTGCATCAAGCGAATCGCCCAGCTCACAGGCCTGCCCTTTGTGGTGGCCCCCAACTTTTTCGAGGCGCTGGCCAGCCGCGACGCTATGGTGGAGGTCCACGGAGCCCTCAACGTTCTGGCCGTCAGTCTAATGAAGATAGCCAATGATATAAGGCTTATGGGCTCTGGACCGCGCTGTGGGCTGGGTGAAGTTCACTTGCCGGAGAATGAGCCGGGAAGCTCAATTATGCCCGGCAAGGTGAATCCCACGCAGTGCGAGGCCTTGACCATGATCTGTGCCCAGGTGATGGGCAACCACGTGGCCGTCTCCGTGGGCGGCGCCAACGGAAACTTTGAGCTGAATGTCTTTAAGCCTCTGATCGTGTCCAATGTGCTGCGTTCCATCAAGCTGCTGAGTAATTATTTTATCCTTTTATTATTTCGTTTACCTATACATCCCTTTTCTCCGCAGCGGATGGATGCCGCAGCTTCAATTTGAACTGCGTCAAGGGCATCAAGCCCAACAAGGACAAGCTGGCCAGTAATGTGAATCAATCGCTGAGCCTGGCGCCTGCCCTCTGTCCCAACATTGGGTGTGATAAGACGACCCAGATTGTCAAATCGGCGCACCAGAATGGAACCACTGTAAAGGAGGAGGCCTTAAAGGCCGGCATTACAGAGAAGGACTATAACGAATGGGTGCGCGTCGACAAGATGCTGGGACCCAGCTAAGCTGCTCAGCACTGGTCTCTGTTTAATTTATTTCATATTCACAACTTATTGATAAATTTTATGTCAGAGCTACGAATGGGGTTTTCTTTGATCGTTATAAAAAATATTTTGTAAGGGGTAGCTGGAAGACAGGTGCATCAGATTGCTTTTACAGTGTGTTTCTCATTCACAATAAATCTTTTAAGATTAATCTTTTCATTAACAATGAAGTATTTCTTTATTTATTTTCACCTGAAACAAATGAAGATCAATCCAAAATTTCAATAGAAAGAGAATCTCTTATCGGTGGAATGTTAAGCTATATTATTTTGTGGCCTGGATGACACCAAGGCATCCTAGTATGTCTGGAATCAAGTGACAGTAGTAGCCTATAAGCTTCAAAATTCTCGGCATCCCCAAAAATCTTTTAATTTTCTTTTCGGTCAACTACTCCAAAAATTTAAAGGCCAACAAGGGACCTCTCCCAAGGACAAGTCAGGATGGTGCGTGTAATTGAGGACATGTTCGGCATAGCCGTCAACCCGATGTCCCAGAAGACAGACCGCGTTCGCCGCTTCACGTTGTCCACGGAGCGTGGCATGTCCGTCTCCATAAACACATTGGGCGCCACAATCCAGTCGGTAATGGTGCCAGACTTTAATGGCAAGCTGGAGGACGTGTGCCTGGGCTACGATGACGTGGCCGGATATTACCGCAACCAGCCGCTCTACCTTGGGGCCACCATCGGGCGGGTGGCCAACCGGACATCTGGAGGCCGTTTTATGCTCTGTGGCAAGGAGGTGAGTGTGAGCCGGAACGGTCGGGATCGCTACCACATAAACGGAGGCTTTGTGGGCTTCGATAGCGTCATCTGGGACGTGGTCGGTGTGCACAAGGACGGCATCACACTGCAGCATATCTCGCCGGACGGGCACGAAGGCTACCCCGGAGAGCTGACCACCAACATCAACTTCTCGCTCAATGATACGGGCTGCTTCGGGATGCGGATCGAGGCGCGAACGAAGGCCACCACGGCGGTGAATATCTCGAACAACAGCCACTTCAACCTGGCTGGCCATGGCGCCGGCAAGGAGGCGCTCTACCAGCACATGCTGATGATCAAGGCCCAGAAGATCGTCGACGTCAATCAAGATCTTCTACCAACTGGCAAGCTGATGCGCGTCCGCACCACGCCCTACGACTTCTCCAGCCTGGTCAGTCTCGGCAAGCGCCTGAACCAGTTGATCTCCTGTCCCCTTAGCGGCTTCGACAACAACTTCTGTGTGGACGTCTCCCCCAACCGCGTCCAACTGGTAGCCCGCGTCGTGCATCCTTGCAGTGGACGCTTCATGGAGGTGCACACCAACCAGCCGGGCCTCCATTTCTCCACGGCCAACAATTTTCCGGATGAGGATAGCGATGCACCGGCGAACCCGGGCAAGGGCGGAGCGAAGTACGTCCGCCACGGAGCTTTTTGTGTGCAGACACAAAAGTATCCGGACGCCATGAATCACTGCAGCTTCCCTACGGTTGTCCTGAATCCGGGACAGCTCTACGACCACCAGGTGGTTTATCGATTTGGTGCCTGTCCCAAGAGAGTTTAGAACGAACACCCGCCGCAATCCCGAGTGGAGCCTCTTGAAATTCAACTTAAAGTAATTTTAGATCCAAGTAAAACAGTTTTTAACGGAATATTAAAATATTTAAATATTTGAATTCGATAATTGGAACATCGACTTATCGTTAGAGGTGTGTTAATATAGATTGCATGCTATTCGATAGAACTGCAACCCCCATATTCGATTAAAGCACCATCGCTTAAGGCACTATCGCTTCTTGGCCATCCCTAATATAAATATAAAAAGAAATTAAGAAAGAAGAAAAAGTACCTTCTGCCACTTAAAAGGAAAATAAAAGCCGCCAAGCTGTTTAATTTACCGCAAGTGTACAAGCACACCACAGCCGACGCCATTCGTCAGAGCAGCAGCAGCAGCAGGATGCCAGTGGGTTTCGATTCCCTTTTTCCCTTTTAAATATTCATCTCCTGCTAAGGAGCTCTCATTCCGTTCCTCCCCCTTTTTTCCGCCCGTTTTCGCAGGTGCACGAGTTCAAGGTGGAGATGACCTGCGGCGGATGTGCCAGCGCCGTGGAGCGAGTCCTGGGCAAATTGGGCGGTACGTAGACTTAGTGACTGGTATTAAGGCGTTAGTGACTGGCGTTAGGCCTAATTAGTGGCCCCCTTATCAGCGTTGCTGGGAGGTATTAACATAGCTACACATGTGTACAAACATATGTACAATATAGGGGAGACTATGTGGCTTACTTTCCTAGTACACAGCTGCGGTCAACGTAATAGGGTTTCTTATTGAATATTTTTGTGTTTTTTTGAAGTTTTAAAGTGAAGAAAATATGTAACATTCTTTTAATTTTTGATTTTGATTAAAATTTTTGGATAAATCTTGATAAATTGCTTTTAAATACAGATATTATTATGGTCAAGCCCAAACTGATCTTGTGGCTTGTGGTGTCACCATAAAAAATAAATATAATAAATTATATTTTGCGCTGATAAGCTCCACAATACTTTGCATTCTTAAAAAGTTCCCACACTTCCCTTATCAGCTATGTGCCTTTTTTTCTAAGGTTACCAATTCTAAATGTCCCACTTTGCCACTCTGCAGATAAGGTCGAGAAGGTCAACATCAACCTGGAGGATCGGACTGTGACCGTGACATCGAACCTGTCGTCGGATGAGTTGCTGGAGCAGCTGCGCAAGACCGGCAAGAGCACCACGTATGTCGGCGTGAAGAAGGAATGAGACGAGTTTCTCAGCAAGTTTCAGAAATACGGCAAGCTGAAACTTGAGGTCTAGGGTGTGCGTGTGTGTGTGTGTGCAGAGCACGTGCACCCTGGACGACGGATGAGGGATCTTCCACGACGTTGCCGAGATGGGTCGCTATTCAGTGATATTCATGAGATACATACAAATTTTACTCTTAATCAAAAAATCAAATAATAGGAACGATCTACAAATTTTACACTAGTATTCGTCGCTCTTGCCCAGATTGTATGTAGCTCGTAGTTAACCAATTGAAGTGTTATTATATTGCATTACTTATGCCTAGATGAAGAATTTCAAATTCAAACTTAACAAGTCAGAGCGTTAAGCTTAAAGTTTTTGCCTCGGTAGATATACTCGTATTTAGGGGTATCGTATCCAATTAAATCCAATGTAGTTGCCAACAAATGATATACGCCAATTGCCCTCTTATGACTAATCGTAATAATATTACAAATTTTAACTTTTTGCAAAATATCAAATATATACAAATACGTTTTAATCTCAAAATAAGTAACTTGGTGTTTTTTATAAGGGAAAATCTTTGAAATTGGATCTCCTTGGGATAGCTTAGGTTCCCAATAAGTAATTTGGTTTCCCGTTAAGTTTACTGCTTCTCGAACCCCAACACAGAACTCGAAAAGTTGCCTGAAAATTGTACCATTGTCACTCCTAATCTCCGTCAAATCAGATGCGGGCACTTAGTCATCAGGCCAGGCCCAAGAATGGGCGACAAATAGCCGGTTTATGCCCTACAACAATCGAGGAGGCAGCATGAACACGTCATAAATCTCGGGAACCCACACTTATCAAACCCAAATACCATATTCTCGGTTGTCTGTTTTCCATATTCTGTTTCTGATTTTATTTTGTGATTTTTTTGTGGTGCATGTTCGAGGCGTAACGAAATTATCAATCAAATGCCAGCTGGCATGCAAAGAATGCAGCGCGCACACACAAAGACCCAAAGCGACTGCACTAATTGAGTCCGAAGGTGGAGGTGGGGGGAGGCAGCTTTCCGCTTGGAATTTGATGTCGTCGTCGTCGTTGCCGTCGGCGGCGGCGGCTACCTGAGGCTGTGTCTTGTCCAGGTCTCCTGTTGATTTATGCCCCTGAACAATAAGGAACCCCGCCTGTCACAACACCAGTCACACATCCCATCCAGAGACACGTCCTTGCCTCTGACCGATGATAATCCCTCAAGTGTGGCCCGCTGCTCAGTTCCAGATAGCATCGGGCAAAGGGATCGAATACCGTTGAAATGGTTACGATAAAAAAACAGTTAGATGGGCCATTGTTCGAGGCATCCTCAATCGATTTGGTTAATTGTTGGGCAATTTAGATAATATTTGGAATTTCTTAACTGCGGAAATGGTAAAACAATATTTGATGTTCCAAGGGGGTAGCCTCTGTGATCTAGCCATTGAATTTACTTGAAATTCCCATAAAGATAATTTTATATAGATAGAGATACATTTTTATATAGTCAAAAGGTGGTAAACAGTAAGCTAAATAACGCATAAGACCTACGTTTTAGGTCCTACAAAAAGACTTGCATTACCGAACGAAGTATTATTTCAACATTAAACAAAATTTTAATATTTTTAAAACCACTTTTTAAAGAGTAACTAAGCTTGATCCTAAGACTCTTAACCAAGACAATCAGCTTGAATGTCAGAATCCGGACACGCCCGATGCCTCACGCCTTTTTTTTCGGGAGGACCAGTCTTCTCTCTCTCTTGTTTTTGTTTTCATTCTTTGGCAATTTTTTGTTGATGTTTTTCTTTGCACACTCGGTGCATTGTAGACATTCCGAAAATCGCTGGCGAAATTCCTTGGCGCATGCTTGCCAGCAAGTTGGCAGTTGGCAGTTGCAACTGGCCACTGGCCACTGGCAACTGGCAACCAGTTGGCCGCTCGTTTTTCGCCTGGTCAAGTGGCTCGGCCTCCGCCTCAGCTCGGCTCGGCTCGGACTTTGGCTAAACGGAGTTGGTTGATCCAGGCGGCATGGCGTTCCTGGCCGAAACCCAGCACACACGCACACACAAAGTGCCGCCGCTGCAGCGGCTGTCGTGGCTGCGGCTGTTTATTGTCATGGGAGAGATGTGAGGCGGCCCGAACAGAACAATGGCACACTAAACGAAACTTAGGGCCCGGCTGGGGCAATAAATTCCGAAATAAATTGTGACGTTTTGGGCGGCAGGAGAGCGAAGATCTCAAAGATCTCATGCAAGACAAGGTCACTTTAGCAGCGATTTAGCAGTGATTAATGCCGAACGAATCGATTGGCGGCTCCAGAGTCTTTGTCCTGCGCTGGTCATTGAACCATTAGCGACTCCTGCTGCCAGCTAGCTATAGGTACTCCTACTCCTACTCCTACTCCTACGCTCCTCGGTCATTTGGGGGGAACACAGTAGCCAAGATCGAGCGGTGCAAATTGCAGAGACACCGTGGAAGAGAGCGAGAGCTCTGGAGCTGCAGTTGCAGTTGCAGGAGGAGAGGCGGAGAGAACGAAGTCCGAGGAGAGCGAGGAGAGGACCAAACCAAACCTGTCGACGCCATGGAAATTCCTATGGCCCGAACCCGAACTGCGATTCGGTGGCCAGCGAGCGTGTGCCAAGCCCACGAGCTTCGTTTCGGCCATAACAAGAGCAGGGTGGAAGAATCGCCGAGCCAAGCGTAAATAACTCATAGATAATAATGGCCCAGGCATTTGCAGTCCATGCAGGCAAAACAAAAGACTTAGGACACGAACTCGAGGAGCCGAAGGAGTCGCCAGTCGGAGGCAGTCGTCATGTAACAGCAACGGCCAAAAAAACCAAAACAAGATCAACTGGTTTGAAATACTCACTCAAAATGCTGCCAGAGCAAGGGAGAGGGAGACACCTGGGAGAGCAAGAGAGAGAGAGAGAGAGACCATACCTGTTGAGTCCAAGACCTCGTCTATTGCGCGTGCCTTCGGTAGATCGCTGGATCGCTGGATCGCTCGATCGCTCCAGCGCTGCTCTGCTCGATCGCTGGCTTTGGTCCGTAAAATACTTTTCCCCAAAGAAGTCTCAGTTGTGTTTTTGACTTTTCGCCGTGCAGAACGATTCTCCTGCCGATCGGTGGTACCATCGCCGTCGTCGTCTCCCAGTCAGTCTCTCTGCAGCCCCGCGGCCAATATGTGATTCGTCTCTGCATCGCACTCTTCCGTTCTCCGTTCGTCGTTCTCCCCGCCACTCCGTGTAATGTTCGCGAAAAGTTGTTTTCGGTATATATAGCCAGCATTCGCATACATCCGCAGAGTCAATTTTCCTGTTAGCCGAAAACCTGCCAAAATACAACAACAACAAGAAAGGAAGCTAACTTCGGCACGCCGAAGTTTGTATACCCTTGCAGATTGGTTTTGATGTTTATATTATAGATTTAAATGCTGAAAACACACACAAAACAGAGTTTCATTACATTTTACCTATACTTATTTTGTTTACAGTTTGACAGTTACAGTTTTACATTCCCAGCTTTATATATTTCATACATTTACCGATCGCTTCTATGGCAGCTATAAGATATAGTTGTCCGATTTTTATAAAATTTATACCAAAATTCTAGAATAATAAAAAAAGCTTATATCTAAAAGTAGATAAGAATATGTTGAAAAACAACGAAGTTATAATTTTTTTCCTATTCATTTGCCGATCGTTCCTATGGCAGCTATAAGATATAGTCGTCTGATTTTCATAAAATTTTTACCAAAATTCTGAAATAATATAAAATGGCTATATCTCAAAAATGATGCAAAAATATTGAAAAACAGCAAAGTTATAATTATTTTTCTAAAAATTTATCGAACATTTGCATGGGAGCTATATGATATAGTC